AAACTAAGTCCTAAGATAGGTTAAACAATGGACCTGTGACTCAGTCCTAGGAAATCGCAAGGCTTGGTTTGTAACCCAGTTCTGCCCGACCACAGAGCTTTATGCAAGGAATCATGACGCCACTCTGGACTCCAGGAAAAAAAATCATAGCACAGAGCTTATGACTTTAACTTTGGTTAATGGCCTTCTCACATAGGATGGCCAGCTTGGTCAACGTGGAGAGCAGACACCACACTCCTAGATACTGTGAGGCTTGTGGGAGCCCCTTCCACGTCCCACATGGTTCAGGGTTCCTGTTCAGAGTTCCGTGTTCTGGAGAAGGCCGCACACAAATGAAAGACTAGAAAAGAGATGATTTGGGGAATGGGGGGCCAGGCAGGAGTCCACCTCTAGGGGAAGGTCTAGCACTGCTCTGGCCTTCTTATCCTTTGTATTGAGACCATGGGAAACACCCATATCCTTTTGGCAGGAAATTCCAATAACAGACAATCAGCAAGAATGTACATATGGTTAACAGGTGGAGGTTGCTTTCACTACCAAAGTCTCCACCTCACAATGAGTGATTAGCTCCGACCATTCAGAGCCATTAAGGCTGGCCAGACTTCCGGATTTCCTTTTCACATTTCTCTATTAGTGACAATGTTTTGGTTTCCAGCATCATTTGTTCCACTCAGTCAGTTATCACATTTGATTACTTTCTGTCACTTATTCTCAAGCTGAATTTTTAGATTTTTTTGTTTGGCATGGGTGGAGGGGGAAACTTTAAGTTTCTCTCTTTTTAAAATATATTCTTATTAATTTCAGAGAGGAAGAATAAGGGAGAGAGGAGAGAGAGAGAGAGAGAGAGAGAGAGAGAGAGAGAGAGAGAGAGATCAATGATGAGAATCATTGATTAGCTGCCTCCTGCCTCCTATTAGGGATGGAGTCCACATCCTGGGCATGTGCCCTTGACCAGGAATTGAACTGTGACCTCCTGGTTCATAGGTTGACATGAACCGCCAAGCAAAACACTAGGGTTCTTGAAAGAGACCCTTGCAACCAAAATTTATATCTGACAAAGAGAATGTGCTCAAGAGTCCAAATGGTCAATCCTACCATATATTAACGAAAACAAAAACAAAACAAAAAAAACATTGAAACCTATAAAGAACTTTTTTGTGAGTTTATTTGAGCCTTATATGCCAGGAAGCAGGACCTCAACGGATTGAGATAATGCTCCAAAGAATGGCGGGTTACATTTCTCTATTTATACACTGAAATCAAAGGAGGGACATAGGTAGGTTACATGAAATTCATCGGTGATGGAGTAAGGAGGCGAGAGAAAGCTAAGTGGTGGGAAACTCCTTGGATTGGATAAAAATTAAAATGATGGACTTGTACTCAGTGAGTGTAGGAACAATTAACATGATAACGAAGGAATTTGAGGCATTTGTCCTGGCACTCACTATGTTTGGTTGTGCCCCAGAGGCTCCGGAAAAAGGGAAGTTACAAGTTACTCAGGCATCTCACAGATAGGTTATCTTAGAGGCAAAAAGGCAAATGGGCTCAATAAAAAGATCAAAGTTGATCTTTGTCTGGGAGAATATCTGGGACATGACTACCTACTATAACCTGTTAGATATTTAATTTTCAAACCATCTTTTGTGGTTATCTTAGGTCTCTGGGTTTGCAAGACTGCCACGCAGGCCTTCCCTGAGCTTGCCAGGTTAGCATGTGGCTCTTTTCTTTCACATGTATCACACCATAATTAAATGCCAGAGGAGAGTCAGTGTACATGTGGAATTTGTGAGAGAGCTTCACCTTCCACGGAAGGAAAGAAAGCCTGAGTATTCTGTGTCCCATTTTGCTTGTTTTATATGTTTATCCAAGTAAATATGAGGAAGATTTACTACTTTATGCAACACTTCACAACAGAAGACAAAAAAAAATTAGCATTTAGACTGTTTTCAACAAACCATTACATTGAGCCTGGAGATCAGGAAGGAGATCCAGGCCAGAGATGTCTTTGGAGTATTGTAATCAAAGCATGAGGTAGAGGGCATGGAGAGAGAAGGCTGAGTAAACAGGCTAATGCAAGCCAATTTGTCTGCTTCCAAATCCCCATGGGACCGCAGTGTTACACTGGGGTGGAATGAATAATGTGGAAAGAGTGTAAAGTACAGGGGAATTCGCTTAATTGGAAGAAGGAGAATAGACTAGGAGTGAAATGGAGCTATAAAGTTAAACTTTGATGAACTCAGGAGGTCCTTACAGGGAAAGGCAAATAAGATACCATTATGCTCCTTTTATTATATATATATATATATATATATATATATATATATATATATATATATATACTGATTTCAGAGAGGAAGGGAGAGGTACAAGGAGATAGAAACCTCAATGCTAAGAGAGAATCATTGATTAGCTACCACTTGCCTAGCCCCTACCAGGGATGGCCCCTACTAGGGATGGAGCCTGCAACCCGGGCATGTGCCCTTGATCAGAATCAAACCCGGGACCCTTCTGTCCGCAGGCAAGCCCTCTTTAAAGTGAGGAAAGGATATTGTTAATGCCCTACCAGTGTTTCCCAAAGTGTGGTATACGTACCCTCAGGGGTACGGGAAGAGTTTGGTGGGGGTACGAGTTGCACCGGAGTTTGGTGGGGATATGCACTGCACCGTGCTTAGCTGCACCTAATTCTACATTCTCATGAGTACGAGGGGTACTCAGTGTTACGAAAATTATAGAAGGGGTACACATATGTCAAAAGTTTGGGAAACAATGCACCAAGACCCCATAGCTGGACTGGATTTCCCGGGGGAAGTGTTTCTCTGGGACCAGAGTTCTAGGACTTTATTTCCCTTGCCTAATGAGTTGTAGGAGTTCCTTATAAATTTTAGAAATTAACCCCTTAAAAAAAAAGAAAAAAAAGAAATTAACTCCTTATCAGATGTATCAATGGCAAATATGTTCTCCCATACCTGGGATCCCTTTTTCTCTTTTGTAGAGTTCTAGGATTTTAAACATTATTGTTGTGCCTCATCCTGGACAGGATGCTCACCTTTTACCTGCACACATGTAGAGATATAGGATAAAGTCATGGTTTTTCTTTTTTTTTTTTTTTTTTAAATATATTTTATTGATTTTTTTACAGAGAGGAAGGGAGAAAGATAGAGAGCTAGAAACGTCGATGAGAGAGAAACATTGACCAGCTGCCTCTTGCACACCCCCGTACCGGGGATGTGCCCACAACCAAGGTACATGCCCTTGACCGGAATTGAACCTGGGACCTTTCAGTCCGCAGACCGATGCTCTACCGCTGAGCCAAACCGGCTTCGGCAAGACAAGGTTTTTCAAATTCAGGATTCAGGGCTGAGAGGAGAAGGTAATTCAAAAACACATGTACCATCTCCATGAAAACCAAGCCTCAACCCTTCAATCACGCCATTATTTAGAGGAGGAAATGGGATTAGAAGTGGGACTGCCTGGCTCCTGAAGTCGCCAGTTTACTCCATAGCCTCTCTCCAAGTTTACTTAACATTTTCAGTTTTCTAGAGTTTGATATCTCTGAGGCTCTGCAAAAACAATGGCTTAACAGGGTTAATAATAAAAGGTTAACTTCTTGGCTATATCTGAGTTAAAAAAAAAAGTTTCCGGTGCTATCATAGGTCAGTCAAAATACCTTATAGAATTTTATTTAGTTTGATTCATTCTTCTTGTACGAACCAAGTGCTCACTTGGAAATATTTTAGATGGCTGTCGTGCAGCCTGAAGCTTGAAGGAAATTTGGGGGGGACACAGGGATACTAGCTAGAAGGCTATGGGGACAGTCCCGGTGAGCATAAGGCAAATGGGCCTGTTGTAAAGTGAAGATGGGGGGAGTGGGTAGATTTGAAGTAAGTTAAGGGGAAATGATGCAAGGATTTTTGGTAGTCCAGAAGCATAAGAAGAACTCAATAGATTTATCTACAAATTATGGCTCAATGAAAAATCCTCATGAGGATAGACACACTCATTTTTTTTAAAAAAATATATAAAATATATAATTTATTGATTTTCCACAAAGAGGAAGGGAGAGGGATAGAGAGTTAGAAACATCGATGAGAGAGAAACATCCACCAGCTGCCTCCTGCACACCCCCCACCAGGAATGTGCCCTCAACCAACGTACACGCCCGGACAGGAATCGAACCTGGGACCCTTCAGTCCACAGATCGACGCTCTATCCACTGAGCCACACTGGTCTTGGCTAGACACAGGCTTTAACAGACCAGAAAAAAGTTATTTCTTGGGAGCAAAGGGAGTGGCACTTTCAGTGTCAAGATCAAAGCTTTCCCAAGCTCAACAGGAACGGAAACATCATTTCTCACGTGTAGGTAACACTCAGCTACGCGCTTCTCGGGCATGGGGTTAAGTTCAGAGGAGGGGCCCTCCCTGTGTCAGGAAAGCAAGCACTTAATTCATTCTGCATGTGGTTGTTTACCTTAAATCCCCGCCCAAAGGGGTGGGGCGTCATATAAACCCGCCCCTTCCGCTCAGAGACCCCGCCCACAGGCCGACCGGCGCGCCCCGCGGCCCCGCCCCCCGCCCCGCTCGCGGGCTTTTGGCGGGTTTCACTGCCGGCCCCGCCTCCCGGCCCAAGAAGGGGCGGAGCGTTATCGACCCCGCTCCTTCCGCCCAGAGACCCTTCTGCGCACACCGAGGCCCCGCCCCCGCCCCCGCCCCGGCCCCGCCCCCGGCTTCGGCCCCGCGCCGGCTTTTGGCGGGTTTCACTGCCGGCCCCGCCCTCCGGCCCAAGAAGGGGCGGAGCGTTTTCAGACCACGCCCTCTTCTGCTCAGAGCCCCCGCCCCTGCCCGGCGCGCGGGCTTTTGGCGGGTTTCGCGCGGCCCCGCCCCCGCCGGCCCGGGAACCGCTGGGGCGGAGGAGGGTCGCTCTGCTCGCAGGCCCGCGGCGGCCGCACCGGAGCCCGCGCCCCCGCGCTCGCTGTCCCGGGCGCCGTCCGCGCAGGCGGGGCGATGCCGGGGGGCCGGGACCTGAGGGTCCGCTCCGGGAACCGGCCGCGGCCCGCGCCCGCCATGGAGCCGGCGGCCGGCTCCTGGGCCCACAGCCGCGCCGCGCTCCGCCGGCTGGACGCGCTACTGCGCTGCTCGCGCTGGTGAGGCGATCGCGGGGCAGGGGCCGGGGTCAGGGGTCAGGGTCTGGGCGGGGGAGGCCCTGGGGGTCACGGCGGGGGCGGGGTCAGGGTCCGGGCGGGGGCCGGGGTCAGGGGTCAGGGTCCGGGCGGGGGGGGGGTCACGGCGGGGGTCATGGCGGGGGTGGGGGTCAGGGGTCAGGGTCCGAACCGGGGGCCCCCCCCCCCCCCCCGATGATCACAGTGGGGGCGGGGTCAGGGGTCAGGCCCGGGCTGGGGGCCCCGGGGTCAAGGCGGGGGTCAGGGTCCGGGCGGGGGGAGACCTGCCGGAGATCGGGGTGAGCCATCCCCTCTGCTGGGCGGCTTTCTAGCTGCTTAGTTTATTTATTTATTTTATTCCCCAGCCAGTCCCGCTCGGGTGGCGGTCGTGGCACGGAGTGCGGCGGAGGGAGGGCGTTTGAATGGGGCGGCGCTGGCGGGACCAGCTGAGTCCTGACCCTGCCCATCCGGGAGCCCGCCTCTCCCCCAGCTGCTCTCCGTTCAGCTTTCTTGGGGGAGGGAGGGAGTTGGGGGGTTTCTCTGGTTTGGCCTAGGAGACGGGATTGGGGTTTCCTCCTTGGAGATGCTACTTTGAGTGTGTGTGTTTGTGTGTGTGTGTGTGTTTTTTGTTTCTTTTTAAAAAGATATGTTTTTTATTGATTTTTCACAGAGAGGAAGGGACAGGGACAGAGAGCCAGAAACACCGACGAGAGAGAAGCTGATCAGCTGCCTCCTGCACACATCGCGCTGGGGATGTGCCCGCCACCCCGGTCTATGGAACCCGGGACCTTTCAGTCTGCAGGCCCAGGCTCTATCCACTGAGCCACACCGGTTTCGGCTGTGTTTCTTTTTATTTTAAATATATTTTTATTGATTTCAGAGAGGAAGGGGGAGAGAGAGAGAGAGAGAGAGAGAGAGAGAGAGAGAGAGAGAGAGAGAAACATACATCCATGATGAGAGAGAATCATTGATCTGCCTCCTGCACGCCCCACACTGGGGATGGAGCCCACAGCCCCCCGTACCCTGACCTAGATGGCTTATTTTCCTTCCTGTGGGGGTACACCGTGCGAGTCCCCCGCGTCTGAAGTTTTCATCCCTCTAAAGCCGTCATTTTTATGACTTGTGCTCCTTGCCTCTCTCCTGTCGGCTCTTCTAGTGTAGAAACCAAGATGGCCTGTCCAACCCCGGAAGGCTTGTCTCACTTTCCGTGTCTTCCCCAGCACGTACTGAGTTCCTGTCTGTCACTGCTTAGGGTTCCTGCGTCCCGCTCACTCTGCCAGGCCTTCTCTCTTTGTAGCTGCCCCTGCCCTGGTTCCTTTTTGGACTGGCTTGGTTTTGTTCGCCTCTGATTCCCAACCTGCAGAACTTAGTGACACATAAAGTCTAAGTCACATAGCAGCTCTTTCCTTTAAAATGAAAAGGATTTGTCACAAGTTTTGCACTTAACTGTTGTTCACAAAAGTTTAGAAAGTGGCACTCTTGGCAGAGCGAGTGCCTGCAGACGTTGAGTGCGTCCTGTGTGCTCTCCCATAGCGCGGCCATCCATCCGCCTGGGATCAGAGGTGGGACGGGCTGTGATGGGAGCCGTGCTGGACAGGCCCGAGCGGCCAGCTCAGGGGAAGCCAGATGTTCCGGACGGACGGACGGACGTGTCAGTGTGGTTGGCACCGGGGCAGCCACATGGGGCTTCACTCCCACTGCAGTCAGGCTGCCTGAGTTCAGGTTCCAGCTTTGACCCCACTGAATTTTCCCAGTCGGTAGTCGGCAAACTGCTGCTCTCCAGCCACCTGCGGCTCTTTGGCCCCCTGAGTGTGGCTCTTCCACAAAACACGGCCTGGGTGAGTCTGTTTTGAAGAAGTGGCGTTGCAAGTTTAAGTTTAAAAAAATTTGGCTCAAGGAAATTGCAATCCTTGTACTGTTGATATTTGGCTCTGTTGGCTGATGAGTTTGCCGACTACTGGCCCAAGTCATTCAACCTTCCCGTGCCTCAGTTTCCCCATCTGAGGGATGCTAGTGCTCACCATTAATAATTCCAAAAATCACCGAGCGCCTACAAAGTGCCAGACGCTGTTCTAGGCATTTGGGCTTCATTAATGAACAAGGGGAGGGAAAACGGTCCATCCCTTCTGAAGGTAAAATTCTATGGGAGTGAAGAGACTAAGTGAAATTACACATGTAAAGAAAGAGCCATGTGCGCTGGTTGTCATAAAATACGTGATAATAGTTGTCTGATAAAAGTATAAAAAAGCATAGTCTGCTTGCTGAATGGTTTGGGAGAAAGAAACAAAATAGGTGATTTACATGAATAATCTCTATTCTGAAATTTAATAAAGCCAGTTTCATCGTTTCATCCCTTAGCAATTCTTTTCCAGTTTCTAACTGAGAACACCATAAGAGCCGCAGCCAGTAGACATCAGATAGCGAGGTCTGGACTTAGTACTACTCCTTGACTGGAGAATGATGTTGAACTCCAGTAATTAAAAAAAAAAAAATAAAAAAAAAAAAAATATATATATATATATATATATATATATATGAGCCACTTTTAGGTTAGTAACTAAATCTCAACTGTTTCTTTGTGCATTTTAACATAGGGCTTTGCAAACTTTTTCTGTAAAGGTCAAACGGTAAATATGCTAGGCTTTTGCTGGCCACAGTTTCCTTACTTTTGTGCTTTTATAACTCTGAACCTAAAAAGCAACATTTGTAGCTCAAGGGCTAAACAAAAACAGCCTTCTGGCTTGATTTGGCGCGTAGGCAATGGTTTGCCAAGCTCGGTTTTAACAGGTAAAACAGTCTTAAGTTTAAAAATCCCCTTTTGGTGTAAAGTTTTATATCACACGGTTTGGTAGTAGGAAATGATTCTGCATGCTTCTCCTGGTGTCTGCATGTTTGCACTGCCTGTCGTGAACATGGCATGGCCAGGTTCCTCACACAGAGCGGGGCAAGACCTTCTCGCACCTCTGCCTCTGCCTAGTGGCAGCCTGGCATCATTTATGCTCAAAAGGAGCAACTCAGGATGGCCTGTTTCTTGTTTTTGCTGCCCACCATTCAAAGCGATGTGATGTTATTAGAAATTGTGTGTCGGTACGCATGTCCTTCTACAGAGGGTCAAAGCTCTACCCAGGGGGCTGTTGATTGCCCATTACCCTCACACTCAGCGCGCAGCTGGATCTGTTTTGCAGTAAGCATTACGTGTGGGTGGGGACAGATTGGCTGCCTTATAGGGCATCATTTTCTTGACCTTTAGCAGAAGTATGGCTGCAAGGTGAACTGATGAAATTGTTCAAGAGGCCGGATGTGACATTTGTGTTAGGTCCAAGCCTCACAACCAGAAAGGAGCTGTTTGAAGATTTGGTAGGAGATAGGAAGTCCATATCATGTGAGAGGCTGGCAGAAAGCGTAGTAATCATGTGTTCCTAAAGGAAGCAGGGGATGGTCACAGGTGCTGCAGTGTGAAGACAAGTATCAGATGATACTATTTTGTGAGTTTAAACAGGTTCCTCGACATTTTTTTTGTTTTGGGGGGGCAGGGAGTTGGTGTCTAAGAGAATTGTAATTTGGAGTTCTAGCACTTTTTAAATCAACTTTTAGGAAACAAGTCAAAAAGTAATTCTGCATTTTTCAGAATAGGCGATTTTATTTTTTTGAATTATCTCTTGTCACCTGACAGGTGGTCAGGTTTTGAGGCAGTGTGCTCAGTGGTTAAGGACATGGATTTTGGACCCTGGCTTCAAATCCTTACTCAGTGATTTTGGGCCAATGAATTCATCTTTGTGCGCTTCATTTTTGTCACTGTGAAAGGAATTCGCAGTGGTTTGTGCTGTATACGGCTGTTGTGGGAATTCAGTGGGTTAATATTGATGAGCTACTTACAACAGTGCCGGGTAGGCTCTAGTGCCACATGAGTGTTGGTCAAGTTCAGGACAGATCTCCTGACCCAGCCGTCAGCTCTGGCCTTTCTTTGGGAGTTTCCCACGTTCAGGGGCATTCGGTGACCCTTCATTGAGGTGATCACTCCTCTTGGTTTTCATTAGGGCAACGAGCCATCCCTGCAGCACGGTGCTGGTGGGGATGTGGTGAGACATATTCTACCCTTCAGGAGCACATGCTTCATTCTAAGGGAGGAACTGTGCACGTTCAGGGTGAACTGTGATGATGATGATGATGAAGGCCACGGGGATGCCGAGAAGAGCGCTCGCATGGAGCCAGTGGAGGAAAGCCCAGGAAGCTTCTGAACGAGGCCCTGGGAGATTTCTATAACGGAGCCCGGTGGGGGGTTATTAGCAAATAACATGCTACAAGTTCCTGTGGAATAAAGGTGGAGGGAGTCAGGCTGGAAGAGAATGAAGGCAGAGTCAGATCACAGAGTGATTAGAGCCTAACAGACTGTTCGGTTGGTTCAGAGGGAGGTATACCTGGCTTTACTGTGCTTCACTGATGTTCTTTCTTTCTTTTTAAACAAATTAAAGGCAAGACTCCCCACAAGCAAAAGCTTAGCTTGACTTATCGCGATGCTTGGCTTATTGCAGTGGTCTGGAACCAAATGTATAGTAGCTCTGAGATATGCTTACACTTACTTATTTCCAAAGAGAGCAGTTCATGTAGCGTTCCTGGGATAGGTGTCCTCATTGAGAAAATGAGGAAAGTGGACCAGTGGGTATTTAAGGCTCCCTCCACTTTGCAGATTCCATAATTATTAGTGTCCACTGCATGCTATTTAAAACATTTTATTGAAGTTTATCATTGGTGTTCAGTATGTATCATATAGCCCTCACATATTGTGGATTTTATTTACTTATGTTGCATTTTAATTCTTTGATTGGTGCCTGTCTTCAGTTATACTACCTACTTTATAAGGACAGGTTCAGATTTGCAGCCACCGTGCTAGACACACAGTTTCTTAGTGTTTGTTAAATGAATGCATGAAAGCTTTAGAATTGGAAATACTAGAAGGACCTGGTTAATTCACTTCACTCACCATGAATGCTCCCCTAAGTTCCCTGGGTTCATTACTCATAGCAAACATGATTAAGGACAGGGCAGGTACAGAAGGCACAGGTCTTTCCCCCGGGACTGCCAGCTAGAACCACAGAGTGAACAGTCCTATACACACCTGGTGGTACATAGGGCTTGTGATCACCAGGAAAACCACCAGACACACTGAGCACCCTTTAATACTGCCCCCCATAGCATAATGGATGGTCTTACAAATAAAGTTATTGCTCAGCAGATCTGAAGCTCGGAGGAGAGCTTTTAGGCTGGAGTACAGATCTGCGTAGAGATGATAATTGAAGGCATTCTTTTGGAAGTGAGCAGGGAAGAGAGAATAAAGATGATTGCCTTGAAACTCAACATTTGAACATCAGGTGGTAGGGGTAAAGACCAGCAGTTACTTAAGCTACTGTTTTGCTTTGGAGAAAAGAGAATTGAAGAGAGAATAACCGAAGTTATTTGAATTGGATATATGTAATCTCTGTGGCTTGTCTCATCTCCCGAGGTAGGTTCTATTATAATTAGTCATTAATAATATAATTCTATTGTCCATTTGACTTTTGGGATATTTGACTCATTGATTTATTCAGTAGTTATTGACACTTAGATATGATTTCTTATTTTTCCCATGCTATTTGCTTGAATGTGGCATACAAAATAATGGCAAAATATGATGCTTCCATGCCATTATCCATATTTCTTATTTGTTAACAGACTTGTTTATTCTTGTAAAATGATACAGCAAATCCTTTAATTGGCTTGGAGGCCTGTGCATTTTGGTGTTAAATATGTTGTTCCACATTTAAAAATACCTTGCAGATTTTCTAAAATGTCAGAGTACTGTGGTAGCTATCTTGTCTAATATTAAATAGCAGTTGATATATTATGGACGCTTTGGGAGCCATTCAGTTAAGAAATAAGTCTGCTTGATAATCTCAACTGAATTTACTACCCATTTTTTTCTTTGCAAAGAAAATTTTATATCAATAGGACCTTTTTTTTTTTTTTTTTTTTTTTTTTTTTTAAATAGTTGGTTCATATTAGTTAGTTCTTCCCTAAGTTACGATCCTCTGACTTCACCGATCTTTCCAAACCCAGTACAGGTGAAGTAACAGAAGTGCTACTGCAGTGAGAGTTTTCAGTGCATAGAAACCCTGTTACTCTGCATATGCCTTTGCTTGGTCACTCTGCATGCATTTTTGTGTAGAGTCTTCCATTTGGTTCTTTCACTACGATTTATTGAAATCCTGCTGCTCATAGAGCACCCTGTTGGTAGGTAATAGTGTGCTGGGGAAGCTCAGGAAAAAAATGAAAGTCAAGATCTCTTGTCTGTAGGGCTACAATCTGTTTCAAAACAAACAAGAAAAACGAACAAACAAAAAACAGAACCAGGCAGATAAAATACAAAATATTTTGAATTCAGCTCGATACCATCTCTCTGGACCGCGGGAACATTTTGTAATTCTCATAAGTCACATATATAGTAAGTTGGCTTATAAAACTACCCAGCTTGGTTCTAAGTCCCTTAGGAAAGAGTGTAACGCATTCAGCTTTGTGCCCAGAAGGAGAAAATCCTGAGATGTCTTAAGTTAAATTACTACAGGTCCGAGAGTACAAGGGAGAGAGACAAAAAGGGACTCATCAGTTACCTGCAGTGCAAAACCAACGAAAGGCTGCTCACACTCCTTGGTATATGGATGCGGAAACCAATCCTTGTCTCACTAATAGAAATGGGGCATATCATAGAGAAAGATGTGGACCTGGAACCTGGAAGGCTGGTCAACCATGAAGCTCTGAAAGGTCAGAGCCAGCCACTCCCTATCTAATTAAGACAATGGTAACTTCCCCCCAAGTAATCACGTAAATCATTACTGACAAGATAATCTGCCAGTTACTGGAATTACCTGCCTACAGGCAATGGGTGTATCCCAAACCTGAATAAAAGGGTGGCAAGGCCCAAGCAAGGCCTAGCCCTCCCACTAGAGGTGGGCTCCCGCCTGGTCCCCAGTATTCTCAAATTAATACTTTTCTAGTCTCTTTTCATTTGTGTGCAGCCTTCTCCAGAACCCGAACCCTGAACCGGAACCCTGAACCATGCAGGACGTGAAAGGGGCTCCCACATATGTTGGAATCATCTAATTAGTTTCCAGGTGGCTATATCCAAGATTATCTAAAAAGAATAGCTAGGACTCCGCCGGCCTTTCCCAGCACTAGCCCTGCTTCACTTTCTCACGTCTGTAGCTAAAGTAAATTCTTCTGGCCTACTTGATGTATAAAATACTTGTAAAACTCTAGCCGCTGGACATATCTGTCTCCATGCCCTAAGACCTGTCTTTCTGCTTTTTTGCTAGCAATGGCCTCATAAACCCTTTCTTTTAAAAAGCCTTCTCAGCTGTGGAAGGAAGATTTTTGTGTACGTGTGCTTTACATTTCTGCTGCAGGGCACAGGGTTAGCGTGAATGATGGCATGGAAAATAACACCCAAGAACTCTTGAGCTGCTTTGTTTGGTGACATTTTTATCGCCCGGTGCAGTATTTGGGTAACAGCAGTAGTTTTGGGGGTGGAGGATGGGTATTCTGGGTGGGGGAGAACAGACTGAGCAGTTGTGGGCTTGGAGTTGGCCCAGGGTATTTGAGAAATGGTTCAGAAACTGGCCTCAGGAGAGCACGGAGTTTTTGGTGAGCAGTGATAGAAAAGGCTGTGCTGGGGACCAGCGTTTTGCCACCCTTAAGTCTGCCCTTCGGGATGTTGATTCAAGCTGGTTATTAAGAAGCAAAGGTCTCAGGAATTGCCTACTTTCCCTTGGAACTCCTAGGCCCCTATCCCTTTCTCCTTTGTCCAAAATGGTACATAACCCGCAGCTGCTCAATGTCTTTTTCTGGGTCTTAGGTCAGGGGCACCCCTGCATGTGCATCTGTAATAGACTTGGGACATTTTCTCCTGTTAATCTGTCTCAGGTTAGTTTGATTATTAGCTAGAAGAGCTTAGAAGGGGGGAGAAAAATAACTTCTTGTGTCAGGGTTAAGGCCCCTGCCGAGAGTTTTTGTTCTGTACTAAAGTGTAGCCTGAGAGCTGGCGAGGAAGCAGTGGACTGTGGGGCCTTATCTGGCATTATAGATTTGTATGCCTGAGTGTCTAAGAGTGTTTAGAGATGCCTAAACAGTTACTTCTTTTTACGACTTCCCAGTATATGCTATTGAAAAAGTTACAGTTTGTACTGAATTTGGTAATTATTTGAATTCAGCAGGTATCCTATATATAATAAAACCCTAATATGCAAATTGACTAAATGGGAAATGACCAGTCGCTGTGAGGTGCACTGACCACCAGGGGCAGATGCTGAATGCAGGAGCTGCCCCTGAGGCATTGCTAAGGAGCAGAGAGCAGGGGAGCGGGCCTAAGCCAGCAGCTGGACATCCCCCAAGAGGTCCCGGACTGTGAGAAGGTGCAGGCCAGTCTGAGGGGACCCATATGTCATGCACCGGGCCTCTGATTAAAAATATTTAATCAGGATGACCACATCCTTAACATCTACTTTGAGAAAAGAAAGAAAAATAATAGTGTTGGGCCTTGGATTTATGAAATGTTGGGTATAAATTATTTATAAGTGACTAAATCTTGATTGTTTTTTTTTTTCTTCAAACAGCACTAATATTCTGAGGGAGCCTGTGTGTTTAGGAAGATGTGAGCATATATTCTGTAGGTAAGTAGTTTGGCTTGATATATATTGTATATGTCAGATATATAATTAATATATACCTAGGTAGCAACTATGCTTTTTACAAGTAATAGACATGTATTCATATTGATGATAATATTTTTTATCTCACCTTATCCTGCAAGGTAACTTCTTTATTATCTCATTTTGAACTTTATAAATATCTTAATTTACAAGAAAGAAATCAAAGCTGTAAGAGGATTACTTGATCAAAGTTAATAAAGTTTAATAAGCAGCTTTGGTAAATTTGGGAGAAAATTAATATCTATTATATCATTCAACTCCTTTTTTTTTCCTTCCAGTTTGTTTTGAATCTAGACTTTCCAAACTATAAAAGTCTAGTTCTTACAGTAATTGTGGTAATTTCCTCGGGCTGCCATAACAAGCACCAAAACTGGTGGCTTAGAACCATGGAAATGTATGTCTCTCCCTTCTGGAGGCCTGAGGAACAAGAGCTAGGTGTCAGCAGGATTGGTTCTTTGGAGGGCTGTGAGGGAGACCCTGTCCCACCCTTCTTTCCTGCATCCTGATGGAGGAACTTCAGCGTCTGGCGGTCCTTGGCTTGTGGATCCATCACTCTGGTCTTAGCTTTCATGTTTACATGGTGGGCATGTTTGTCTCTTGTGTCCAAATCTCTCCTTTTTACAAGTATACCTGTCATTGTATTAGGGCTCACCCTAGTGATCTCATCTTAACATGATTGTCTGCAAAGACCCTACTTTCAAATAAGATCACATTCACACGTACTGGAGCTAAAACTTTTTGGGGCACACGATTCAAGCTGCAGTAGTTATTGAGAAATTATATCCGTGTTATAATATGAAAGCCTTGGCTTATGCAATACTAGATTCTCATCTAATCCTGTCTTACTCAGAAGAAATCAATGTAAGGACTAAATGTCTTTGTTTGAGCAGGGTTTATATAGCCTCCTTTGAATCAATCTTTTAATTTCCAGTTATGACAGTGGGACTATCTGGTCTGAGAAAACTGCGATGTGAAGGTTAGCACACAGGAAGATAATTTGCTTTGTGACTTTGGTGGGCGGGGATGTGTGGGAAGCGGCTGCGCCTGGGGTCCCGGTTTTGCTGCTAGAAATATGGGTCTGTTATGTGGTGTTTCTGGCAGGGGATGGGGTAGAAAGTAGTGCCCATCACCTACCTGATATCTCCATTTGGAGGATGAAAGGGATTTCAGATTTGGTATTTTCAGAGCAGATCTGTAGACCATCATCCCCTTCAACCTGTTCCTGCTTGGTGACCTTCCTACCCTGTTTCCCCGAAAAAAAAAAACAGTGTCTTATATTAATTTTTGCTCCCAAAGATGCGCTAGGTCTTATTTTCAGGGGATGTCTTATTTTTCCATGAAGAAGAATACGGTACACATTTATTGTTAAATGAAAATAAAGGAAATTTATTACCTGTATATGGTACGGTAGTACAGTAGTAGTTGTTAACACAAACCAGACAAACTGAATCCTACAGTATCAAGAATTTACTCATTTATTCAATGACAATCATGTCATCTTCTGGAATATCATCATAACAATCCAATTCCTGAATTTCCTGGTGAATTTCTTGTGATTCCATTTTTTTCAGAATCAGTGGACCAAATCTCTCATGTTTAGCCTAGGGAGGCCTTATTTTCGGGGGGTGGGGGTGGGGATGCCTTATATTTCACTCAGAAGGAAACCTGTAAGTAGGTCTTATTTTCGGAAGATGTCTTATTTTTGGGGAAACATGGTAGGAATAAGTGATACTACTGACTGCAAAGTTGTTCAAGGCGAAACCATAAGTCAGACCTGATTGCTCTTTTTCTTGCTTATCGTTAAGTTTTGTCAGTTTCATCTCACAATGTGCCCTGAATCTTGAATTTTTTTACCTGGGAGTAATGGGTGCGGAATGGAGGGGCCAATGGGGATAAAAAAAACCCAAAGGGGACATCTGTAATACTCACAACTATAAAGATAAATTAAAAAAAAAACAAATAAATAAAAGATGGTTTTGATATATCCCAGCGCCTTTTAACCAGTGTACTGCAAAAATGTTAAAACATGCAATCCATGACTTTTAGTTAGGGGCACTGAGCACTTTTCCCTTAGATTGTCAAATTAAAAATATAAACATCCATTATTTGTTGGAATTCAGATTCTGCTGAGTGCGTTGATAATTATATATATTTTAAAATTCCTTTTCAGTAACTGTGTGAGTGACTGCCTGGGAACCGAATGTCCAGTGTGTAACACCCCTGCCTGGATCCAGGATGTGAAGATCAACAGGCAGCTGGACAGCATGATCCAGCTGTGCAGCAAGCTGCGGAGTCTGCTGCAGGAGAAGGAGCTGCCTGGTGAGCTGGCATGTCTGTCTTCTCTGGGTCACCTGTGACATGTCTGTCACTGGAGTGTGTGAAAGCGATCAGGACCTCTGAGGTGTGCTTCAGATTCTAAGATTTATAGCGTTTGGAATTATTTTGAGGGACAGATACCTTAGAGGTAATTAAGTCTCGCTCCTTTTTTATAGGTGAGAAACCAAGGGCCACAGAGGTGCCATGACCTTGTCTGAAGTCACACATGTAGTTAGTACCAAAGGCAAGAGGAACCATTTCTTCCGATTGTCCGTCTGGACTTTCTTTTACTGCTCCTGCTGCCTGCTTTCTCAGTTATGGTCATGTCTGTGTATATGTGTAGTGATTTTATTCTTAAATGTATTTAAATACACTGTTACAAGATAGAATACAAGCTCCTTCCATGGGGCACTTTTTTAGTCTGAATTAATTAAATGAGCATATTTTTGAAGAGCAAAAAATCTAATACTCCCTTTTTTCCGATGTAAGTGGGGGTTAATGTTTTTCAAATTGTTCTCAGACTCTGTGTATTAACTGTGTGTCTTCCCATGGTGCTTTCTGCTGAGAACTAATTAGCTGTGGAAAGAAAGTAGTGTTTTGAATCTTCATAGTTAGATATGGGAATTGCCTTTTTATTGCCCAGATCACTTCCTTTTAGCGTGTGTTCCTTTATAGGAGAACTATTCTTGGCCGGCACAATGCCATCATTGAAATGCACATATGAAAGGGCTGGGTTTCTATTTTAAAACCTTTTCCTCTTCATTTTCCGACATGCTGTGTCACTGTCAACTATTAATGGTGAAGTGATTTGGAAAAATAAATACTGAGTTTTATTGACTTTGTCCATATTTTTAAGAATTTAAATCATAGTTACCTACAAAAAGTTATCTGATCATTACTCTCTATTCTTTTATGATAAAATGTACTATAGTAATAACATTTTACTGACTTTCAGATGTAATTGTACACATTTTTAAAAGTACTTAATCTTTTTGAAAAAATGCTGTTATAAATCTCTTAAGAGCACAATGAGGAAAAGTTTTATTACTAAGTTCACCTGTATTCTTTTCCTTCTTATTCAGAGACAGAGCTAATAGTGTTTATTTTCTGATTAGAGAGATTGGTGTGTGATCTGGTACCCCCCCCCCCAACACTGATTAAGACAGGAGTCCTTAATCAAGAGTTGTGCATGGTTGGCAGTGATGGGGTGGAGGGGAAGGATTAGTGAGCCTCTTGAGTTAATTATACAGTGTGAAAAACGTTCATGCCTCTGAAAGTGGTTTACATGAGGTTCTTGAAGATGTGTGGTCTGTGAGGAATATTGGCCAAGATGGGAGTTTGGGCTGCTGCTGCGCGATTGGTGTCTGTCGTGATGATTTGATTTGATTCTTCTGCAGTTGCTGGGTAGTGAGTATTACTGCTACTGTGGTGATACTAGCTTGCTGGGCTGCCGTAAGGAAGAGACACATCGCACATGGGGGTAGGGGTGAGGTTTGAAACCACAGGAAGTCCTTATCTCCCAGGTCCGCAGGCTAGTCCAAAATCAAGGTAAGATTGGTTCCTTCGGCGTCTGTGAGGATAGGATGTGTTCCAGGCCTTTCTCCTTGGTTTGCAGATAGTGGGCTTCATATTCACATGTTCTCACAAGCTAGGGTCAAGATTTCCCCTTTTAAAAAGGACACCAGTCATATGAGCTTTATCGCTAATTACATCTGTAATGGCCCAGTTTCCAAATAAGGTCACTCACATTGGAGGTGCTGTGGGTCGGATTTCTTTATATGAATTTTAGGAGGGACACAGTTTAACCCGTAACAGCAGTGTGACATTTTTAATGGTGACAGAGTAACCCCGAGGAGAGGTAAATTATGGAGCCTAGGATACCAGGGTGCAAAGAAGAGTAAGATGGAGGACTTCTTCAGAAAGTTTACCTTGGCTAATGATGTTTGAATCTGTATGGTTTTCATCTTTTGTGGACCATGATTGTGAAATGGTTTAATATGTGATCATTTAAAAATATATTTAGGACAATTATTGAGTTTAGAAACAAGTTTTTGTGTGGGATCTGAGGCCAGTCAGAATGCCATCTTTCTCATCTGAGAGCAGAGGTGGAACTTGGGGGAAAATTAGGATGATTAGTTTTCTGAAGGCCATTTTGTGTTTGTTTTCCTTATTATATAATGAGTCATTACTTCAGTCCTTTCCAGACTTTAGCAGTGCTAGCTTTAGTATTACGTACTTTATGATGAATTGAAATTTCACAGTTTGCGTAATATATAAGCAGAATTTTAGGAGCTAGAAGGCTATCTTTAACCCCTTTATTCTGCGGATAAGGGAATGAAGGATCTAGGTTAAGCCGGGCAGTCCGATTCTAAGTTTCTTGCTGTTTGTTTTGTTCTTCAGCACGTTGCTTTTGTTAGAAGTATAAGTGTTCGTTATGTTTGCTGAATGGGGTTGGGGAAAAATTGGCAGTGTTAAGACTTCACTCATATCCCAGACACTAAACTTAATAAAATAAAAAAAAACAAGTTTAGAACAATTCTTAGGTTGTGCTTTCAACAATTCAATGTATAGTGCTCACATTCTTTGCTAGTTTTATAGAAGATGATAAATATACATTCTGTCTGAAATATACATGCTCTCTGAAATATACATTTCTAATCCAGTTCTCATTTCATGATGAAGCTTTTTCTCCTTACTGTAAATTAATTGTCATCAACCTTTCCTCTCGATGTCCCTTAAAGCAAACTAGGCTTGGAAGGGCATTTGAGAGTGTTTATTTATAGTTTATCTATCCAATATGTTTTATGTAGGACCTTTATGTTAGTTTATCTAGCAAGTGCTTAACGTGGTGGAAGGTGAGTGAGGTGAGTAGATAGAGAGAAATAAGAGTTGGATTAAATAATGAGGATATTGGAAATGACCTCTTCATAAAATAAGGGTATTAGATTCAATGATTCCCAAGGGCTAGCTCCACAATCATGTGGATAACTGGTCTAGTGTTAAAGGTGAATGAGGTGGAATGGTTGGACTCCTTCCACATTTCCTCTATTTTTTTTTTAACCTGTAGTTCACAATTTGTCTTCCTAAAGAACCTTGTTATTTGCACTTACTGTAAAATATATAATCACTGTAATTAAGGTGGATAATTAGGAAGAACCTGTCAAGTCAGGGACATAATATATAGTATACACTGGAGATAAAGCAGCCTGATTTACAGTAATACTCTCTGAAATCAGCTTGTAAATAGCTGAATAAATTTTTTTCGGTTCAGTGTATTTCAAAGCGAAGAGACCATCTGTCATACATTTTTGTGACAAGCGTTTATGGATAATTTTAGCGTTTTCTTTACAACATAATCTGCTTTCTGCTAATGAAGTTTGAAAGTTTTTATTTTCTCTTGGCCCCGTCATATTAAATCAGACCTCGCATGTGCTGGCCAGGCTCTGGGAAGTATATGTTGGTGTTGGTGACATTAAAAAACTTTGTGATTATGCTCCCATAGGATCACAACTTTCTTTTCTGGTATCGGGAGAGGCTGGTCTCTCTGTGGCAAATTACATAGTGCTTCATATATGCTGCGACTTTTTTTTTATAATAGATGAACATGAGCATGTGAATAGCTGTGCTTTAATTTTTTAGGTAGAAGTGAATACTTCTTAACTTACAAAATAACCATTCTTCAGCGAAGGCGCAGATGGTAGCAAAGTACTTCGCTTTGATTTTTAATACGGGGCTAGATTGTCAATGAGATTTCTCAACTTCTGTTGCAAAACCTACAATAGGATCATCTGAAAGGCACACAGTGTTCAGTGTAACCCTTTGATGTAGATTAATGATAGCTGAATGACACTTGCTAATTCTTGCCTTTCTTATAGTTTATTATTCAGTTTTAAGAATAAACTTGGCTGAGCAGCTTCTTGGCCACATGTGCGTCTCTGTTCCTGGACAGTTAGGAGCACTCAGAAATGTTTAAATTCAGAGAACAGAACTCTTTTAAATGCTATCAGTATGACGTTTACTATGTAGAGGAAGGACTATGTGTTTTTCTTCGTGAAATGAATATAATAATTTTTATGGTTAGAAGCATTAACCCATATGAACTATTGCAGCTGTCATAGTGTGGTTAATATTCTAGAGTGGAGGGGGTTTATGCTGTGTATTGCCCAGAATTTATAACATACTTGCTTAGGTAGGACAAGATACACATTAAAATAATTCTGAATAATGTAGTACTACTGGATGACTAGTGAAGTTGTGTGCCTGTAAATTACATGAATATATGCTGTTTTCACTTATTGCTTTATAAGATAAGAAATATGTATATCTGAGCGAAATTTGTTGTCTTTTTAAATTTAGAATCTTTTAGTCATTTGGGTAAATGTTGCTACTACCGACAAGCCTTAATTTTTTATTAAATGTCTAATTCTACAGTAAGTTTTATAAGCATAGAGACTTCAGGATTTGACTTTTTAGTTGAAAATGTCATGATGTATGTTTAAAATAAACTTTAAAAAATTAAATACAAGTTATTGCAGACTACCAGTGGATTCACCTTTATTTAGTCTTTGTAATCCAGAGTCTTTCTTAAAAAGTAATCCCAGTAACATGTCCTTTTGACCTTTCCTCTAGATGTGAGATTGTATCAGAAGTGACTTAGTTTGAAATCTACTTATCACTGCAGAGGAAAGACCTTGTTGGATTTAGAAATTCAGTCTATGTGAATGGATGTCCTAATAACCCTTGGTGGACCAGGTGCTGTCAGCTGGGACATCATAAGGATGTCAGAGGGACCGCCTTTACTTACAGACACACTCTTGCTTCAGCTGGGCTTACCAGTTAGTCTTCCCAGTGTAGTTCTGCCATTTTTCCACCAGGAGGAAGGGATGGCTTCTTTGGAATGGAGCAGAGTTTGATAGAATTCCTTTGCTAGGCAGGAATCATGGCTCTGTAATTTCTACTGAGATATTATACACTTTTTGTTTTTCACAATCCATCTTTTTTCTTTCTTTTTCATAAACTTCTTTTTGGCAGATCTGTTTGTAAAGATAGTAGTTTTATACTCAAAAACAGGAGGTAAAAAATAGAAGAATTAATTTTGAACTTTAGATTTTAGTTGACTAATTTTATAATATATTGTTAATTTTGAACCGATAAACTAGTAAGTGTTCTGTGTGAAGAAAAAAATGTCTAAAAGGAATTATAATATTTTATAATTTCCTTTTTCTCGTTAATGTTTTAAAGACATGAGAAAGTTGAAAAGAAATCAAGAATAAGCACACTTGACAATTTTATTTAACACCTTAGTAATAGGACATGTTTATTTCCTATACAGTGGATGTTACCAGTCCTTAGTAGTAAGATATCATTGGCTTTTTTCTCTTTAGATTATTTACTTATTTAATATATCAATTATGTATTAAATATATATAATTTGATATTAAATAAACAAATAATACACTACTTATTTATTCATATTTTCAGGTCATCCCCAGTGGAATATAAGTTCCTTGTTTTCTTCCTAGAATACTATCAGGACTAACGTAGGATTCTGTGAACATTTGTTTGAATGTCCAGATATCTACGGAGTTCATAGTCTGTCTAGGACAAGATTAAGGGGTACATAAATTAAAGGTGATACACTTTAGGAAAACCATAAACCAAATTCGGTGGGAGCTCCAGCTGGGAGAGATTAAGTTCATGTGACAGATTTCTTTTCCTTTTCTCTCTCAGGTTTAAAAGAAGAACCATCCAGGACAAGTTTATTTAATCATGCAGGAAGTAAGAAGAATTCCATAAAAATGTGGTTCAGTCCTCGCAGTAAGAAGGTCAGATACGTTGTGAGTAAAGTTTCGGTACAAACTCAGCCTCAAGTGACGAATGATGAGAATGCTCAGCAGGCCTCCTCGTATGAGTATGTCTCTGTGAGCCCTCCAGCACACCCCTCTGCCAGGGCTGAAAAGGCTTCTACAAGAGCTGGGAAAAAACAGAAAAGGAAAACTTTAACTAAGATCAACCAGTTGTGGAATTTACAGGCAGACCAAAAAGCTGGTCACCTTGACTCCAAGGAGAAACTTAAGGAAAAGCAGGTGTCTTTCTCCGTGGATGCCAGTCCTCCGAGAAATGGTGACATAGACTTATCAGTAAGTGGCTCTGTGGCAGAAGAGGAAGGTTTTGGAAACTTAGCCGATGTCTCTCGGCCGTTGGCTGAGCAAATAGAGTCTCCGGAACTGGAGAGCAGGGCTGAAGCCCTGACTCCTGAGAAGGATCTCCGTGAAGATGCTCTTCCATCTAAGAGCGGGAAACGTGGGCGTCACAGGAGACCTTCCAGTCCCAGTTCTAAGAGATGCAGGAGCAACGTTCCCAGCGCCAGTGAGAATGCTGATCAGCAGACAGGGCTCTCGGAAAACACCCCCGTGCCTGACTCTCTGCAGCCTTCCAGCAAGCGTAAAGCTGGAGCCGGAGGAAGGAGGACAATCAGAACGATATTGGATGAATCCCTGAGCTCCTCACCGGGCACCCCGCCTTCTACCCTGAACAGCACCAATTACGGGCGGATGCTGTCCAGCCCCCCAGCAACGAGGCTGACCCCCAGGAACCCTTCCGCTGGGAAAAGGAACCATAAGGGCGAGACTTTGCTCCATATGGCTTCCATTAAGGTACGAACTGACTCTGAGATAGCAATTTCTGGATGAGACCAGCGATAGCACAGTTTCTTTGGAGTTTGTGAAAAATGAGGAGAGATGATAGGATGATTGAACTCCCACAGATGTGATGCTTAAGGTTGAACCAGAGAAATAGACTTCACAGGGACTGAAGCCCATCTCAGTGAGGCCCAGGCCCGAGGAACAAGATCTTTAGGGAAATTTCAGTGTTTCACTCTCAGCTTCTCTTTGGGCAGGGGCTCTTGTTTCTGTCTATTCCAGAATAGTTGGTTCCATTTTCACCATTGTGTTGACCCATCCTTCTCATGCTTTGTGGGTAAAGGTAATTGCCAAGTTACTGCTGGCAGCATGTCTTTGTAAGCAGTAGAGCCAGGGGCACTGTGAGAAGTGGCAGGCTTCTGGAGGGCACAGCGAGGATTTGGAAGGTTGTGAGATGTGATCTGTGTGTTTCTCCAAAGATCAGGAAATTCCACCGTGAGAGTGGCTCTCGTGGTCTCCACAGAGGAGCTGTGTTGTGTCCTCCTGCCAGCCACCCCTTCCACTAGCCTGCTAGTTGAAGTTAATTCTCTTTATTTATCACCTCAACACCTGGGGTGTGACAGAGTCTGTTTTGGAACCTGGCTGATTTATGGAGCATGGGGTGGTTCATCTTTGAAATGGAAAATAGGACATGGGAGAGCTTCACACTAAATTAAGATAGGTTTGGGTATTCCAATAAATTGTCTGGGAAATCCTTGGGTCCTTTGTATGGAAAGAGAACTTCGGGAGGTCTGGAAGGAACCCCTTCACGAAGCTGGTGACATAAAACATCTGGGAAGAACGTGGGGTAGACATGGAGACTAGGGACCCCTGTCTTTTTTGTGTGGAGAAAGGGAGAAGCACAAAAATGAGTCTTTTCCAATTGTTAGTGTTTTATTTTTTCCTAGCTTTATCTTCCAAATGTGACGCAGGTTGGGGGGAGATTCTGCAGTATGACTACATGCTCAGGATTACATATCCCTTGAACAACTTGAATTTTCAGAATTAGCTCTAGTTTGATTTTTGCAAAGCATAATTTTAAAAAACCAGACTATTTTTTTGTCTTCCTTGTTATATATAATGTATATACATATACACATAAAGCTATTATAAACCTTGACATAATATTATTAATGCTTCATAGACATAAGTAGCTAACATAATAATTATTTTTGTTCACTTTTCTGAATAGTATCTAAAAATGTGGCTACTTTAGTGTCTACATTTTGCTTCCTGGGAATTATTTTCAGACCACTAGATAAGCATCCACCTATATTGGTAGATAATATTTCTTTTTCATTTTTATTTTTTAAAATACGTTTTTATTTATTTCAGAGATGAAGGGAGAGGGAGAGATAGAAACGTCAATGATGAAAGAGAATCATGGATCAGCTGCCTCCTGCACGCCACACACTGGGGATCGAGCCCACAACCTGGGCATGTGCCCTTGGCCGGAATCAAACCTGGGACCCTTCAGTCTGCAGGCCGACATCCTATCCACTGAGCTAACTGGCTAGGGTGATAATTTTTCTTTTTAAGAAGAAGAATTCTTTATCTTTATTAATGGGGATCTCCAGGGCCCAGAATCTAGAACATGGTTTGGTAAGTGCTCTTTTAGAGGGCAGTTAGGGTAAATAATTTTAGGTTGGCCCGTCAAATAGTTTCTATAACATCTATTCAACTCGGGCTTGGTAGTGCAAGCGCAGCCATAGACAGTATGTAAGCCAGTAACCTTCAGTGCACAAGCAGACAGGCCTCTGGCCCACAGGCCATGGGAAGAAGCCACGGTAGGATTTTCAGGCAGGACGACAGGTGGCATGAGCTGCCTTGTGAGTTTTTTCCGCTGAAGGTTGTTTCTCACCAGTCCTGTGAGATTGTCAGTTCCCTGGGAGTCTTTCCGGCATGAGAGTTACCCACTCAGGTTCTTTTGAACTTACCGGATATTGTTATTAGTTGGCAGGCTCTGATGCAGCACGCTTGTGAAAAGCTAATTGATTTCTATTGTTTTTTAAGTCACTATTTAACCATAGTGTCTCTTTAAAAACGTTATTAAGATTAACCCCTACCCAGCTTGATTCTAATAGAACACATACTTGAGAGAAACTCAGTGGGTTTGTTTGTGTGTGTGCATCTGTGTATGATAAAATAATATTCATTTTAGAAAAAAATTAACCCTAATTTTTTTCATTTGCAGCTGAAAATGAAATAATCTGTGTGTACTAGAAAGCCAGATATTGCGATTCTGCTGTCTTAATTTGTGTTTTGTATCCACCTGCCTGAGAAAAGGATTAGAGGGGCTCCAGGGTTAAAACGACTATAAAATGAGCCAGGCACAGAAAAGAGGAAAAGGCTTCTGCTGCTGAATAATGGATTAGATTCGATGACCTTTCACACAGCCAGAGCAAATAAGGGGAGTGCCAGGTTTTATGTGTCAAAAGATGGATTTTAGTTGTCATCATTGTAGTTGTTATTTTTCCGTAAAGCGTCTTGGTAGACGTGCATTTCCCATGTTCCATTGCCCCTCCGGTTGAAAGAGGCTGTGATCGTGTGATGCATGCTTGGTGTATGTATGCACTGAGGGCAGAGCACCCTGGGAGTTGGAATGTTCTCGGCCGGCTAGCTTCCCTTGCTGCAGTGATGGCTTAACAGAATGACCTCTGAATTTTGGGAACATTATTAACAAAATTCTTTCATATCCTGCTCCAGACCTTCCTCTGGGCATCTCTGTTGACCATAGTCTTCTTATAGCCAACATCCTAGTGGAAGCTACTTGTCTTTTCTTGTTGCCCTGACCACTTGTGTTAGTTTCCTGTTGCTGTCACTGCAAATTTCTACAATTTTAGTGACTACAAGCAAGGCAGATTTATTTTCCTAGGCCAGAAGTCTGGTGTGGCTCTCACCAGGCTAAAATCAGCATGTCAGCGATGTTACTCCAAGAGAGAACCCATTTCCTTGATTACTTGGGTTGTTTCAAGGAACTGCATGTTTCTTGTGGTTGTCGGACTGAGATCCTGTTTTCTTGCTGGCTGTGCAATAGGGGGTGGAGTCCTTGCATCATCTTTCTGACCTGGCCAGGAAGGCTCCCTTCCTTTAAGACAGTGGTTCTCAACCTTTCTATGCTGCGACCCTTCAATACAGCTCCAGGCCCACAGGTTGAGAGCCGCTGCTGCAGAGCCTAAGACCATCCAAAACCACAGATATTTACATTATGATTCATTAACAGTAGAAAGATTACAGTTATGAAGTAGCAACAACAATAATGTTATGGTTGGGGGTCACCATGACATGAGGAGCTGTATTACAGGGTCGCAGCATAGAAAGGGTGAGAACCACTGTTTTAGAGGCTCACTGGCTACACCCAGGGCCACCCTGAGAGTGCAGGATAATCCTCCCATCTAGATCTGTACCGTTAATCAGATTACCAAGTCCTTTTTGTAATGGCAGGACACATACAAGTTCTGGAGATTAGGACACAGACAGTTTTTGGGGGGTCATTATTCCAAACACACTATGAAGCAGCATCTCATTTCTTGCTCTGCTTTTCTGCATTCAGTTCTCTATATGACAGCCGAAATAATCTGACCTTAGGTCAGAACTTGTCATTTCTCTGCTCCCCTACCAATAACTTCCTGGCCCTCTTAAAACAAAATCCAGTCTTCTATGCCTGCGTAGCCCTGTGCGATCCCTTCCTCAGCTTCTGCTCAAATGCCACCTCTTCAGAGAGACTTTCCTAACTTCTCTAAAATGGCAGTTTTGACCATACCCTTAGTTTGTATGTCTTTCCTCCTATTAATATAAACACTTATGTTGTTTTTTTTTTTTTTTCTAAGTTAATGAAAAAAAACACACACCCTAGTATTTGACATTTTTCTAGCCATAGAGAAGATTTTGACTTGTTACTCTATTTTGTCAGATTCGCTGGAGGTGCTGGGTAAGACCTCCCCTAAGTTCCCCAGTACCCATCTTTAAAATGGTAATGATTACTCATAACTCATGCCACAGCAGTGAATGGATCTTGAAATACAAGAATTGCTTGACGTTTTCATGTCACATGATATATTTGTCATACAAACATGATAGATACTATTTTGAAGGCAACTTACAAGGCATGATGTGCTTAACATAAGAAAGGTGAGGAGGAATTCTTGGGAAGAGAGAAAATCCCTGGTGAGAAGCCTCCTTCATGCTTTGCCTTTGTAATTCATGTTATACCGTGTGTAGTCACATTACTACAAGATCCTTCTTACTAGCTTCTCGAGAAAGTAGCAAAGGACTTAGAAGCACGCTGGCACCTGTGACATTTTAAGATTTTAATTTCTAGAACCTCTCTTGGAGTCCGTATTCATTTTCCCTCTGTCTGTCACCCACCGCCTTTGTAATACCAGCAGCTTATGTCTCGATGACTAGATTGTCAGAATCATCTGTGAAATTATTTTATTCAAATAGTCAACCCTGGCTCAGCGGCCAGGGAAATGTTTAATATTTTTGAGAGCTCCATTCCAGATGGTTAGATTTTTAAAAAAAATTACATCTGGTTGTTAAAAGAAACTTTAGGTATTAATACTTGGTCAGTTCATATATGTGGAAAGCTTAACCATCTGGGGTAACTCATGATTATTGAACTTAATCTTAATGTCCTGTACTATTTTTATAAAGATGTTTATTAACAGTATCTTGGATGTATAAACCTGTATATCAAGGAAAAAGTTTCTGTTTGCTTGTGTGTTTGTTTTTGGAAAGTTAATTTATATTGTTAAAGTATGCATGAATGTGTGAAGAGTCCTTCAAATGGAAGGTTAACAGTAAGAAAATTCAGTGTGGCATGCATGCTTCCTTATTTTCAGCCTTTAAGGTGTTACTTCAAAATATCAAATCCATTTAAAATTTCTTATAAGCCTTGGTACTTTCCTCAGATGATTTTTTTTTCTTCTTGCTGTGGTTAATAAAAAAAAGTCTCAATTATTTTGTAAGCTGTGAGGAATCTAAAAGTGAATGCTTATTACTCAGAAAATATTCTATTATAGAATAAAGCAATTTAAAGACATCAGAAGCAGAAATTAATTTATTTCTTGGAAACTTCATATTGGTTCAAGCTTACCCAGTTACTATAGATCCTATCTAATTATCATAATTTTATTTATGTGCATTACATTAAATTTACCTAAAGGAGAAGGATGAAAATATGTCAAACTTTTAAAGTACTTGGGTAGAGAAAGCAGGTTGGGTATTAAAAGCAGGCAATTTGCCAACAGTGTGGTGATTGTGGGGATGAGGAGTGGGCGGAGGTGAAAGAGGGTTTAGGCAATAAATGGTGATAGAAAAAAATAAAATAAAGGAACAAAAGCAGTTTGTCAATCAGCTATACAGTTCAGGGAAGTCTAGGGGTGCAACTGTAACAAAGACATCTTTGAAGATATGAAGAGGTGACGAGAGAAAAACACCACAGCCTTACAGGAGATTCTGACTAGTCTCTAAATTGTCACTCCATCCCTACGTGACTGTTCCCATGACTCCTCCATTCCACACTTGTGCTTACGCTATTTTACGGGCTTTTTTAGGTGAATATGGTTTTGTGATTACCTTGCAGAGTTAGAATGAGGAACTTTTTGAGAAATTTTTTTTGGCTGTTTCTTGTGTTTACTTCCATGTTGAAGGTTGGGAATAGGTGTGGTTGAGGCAGTTCATCTGCCCCAAATTATTTTAGAAAATTCATATTTGTATTTTGTCAGATTTTCCTGAACTCACTTGGAACTGACTTGAATATAGAGCAACATTTGCTAAATACATGTTACCTGGCATTAGATATATAGAATGTACATCCCTCAGGAACTATGGAAAAATATTTTTTATTTGAACTGGAGCATTTGATTTGAAATACATAGCATGCTTATTTTTTAGGTACGTTGAATATTAAGGTCATTTTGTTAATTTTGGAATATATATATATATATGTATATATATATATATATACATATATATATATTGCATGTGGATTTGCTTTTCAGAAAACTAAGTTACCATCTTAAGATATGCTACATTTGAATGGAGCCCAAAACAATAAAATAAAAGCAAATGTTACTATATTACGGGGTCTTAGTGACTTCGACCTTATCAACTTACAGAGGCTGAAGAGTTATTCAGAGGAGTATAGGGGCTGGGAGGGGGAGGAGACATTTTTCTCCCTAAAGAGGAGCTTCACAAAACACAGCAGTGTCCTAAGTAACTTGTCAAATGGAAGTTTTCAATTTATTTTTCAGAGAAAACTGTTAGTTATTTTTGGAAAAAATAAGCCTTGCTTCTGCCTAGAAAAATATCTTTGAGCAAATAAGGTGAATATAAGCTAAGTTAATGCATTAGGATGGAGTGACAGCGCGGAAGACAGTTTTTGGCAGTCTTAACATTGGTTTTACTGAGCAATCTTCCTGGCTTTAATTTTGTTTTAAACAACACTCAGAGGCTATTTTTATGTGTGCCCAAAGGAATGTTTTTCACAAATGAAATGACTTTGAAAACTTTATTATGATCAGATAAATGATCTGTGGCTAGTGTCCTTTATTGGATATTTTGAAATGAATTTCATTATGGGTTGCTTATAGCAGAGATTTTGTACTCTATATTTAAGGATGTACGTACCATATGAATTCCAGGACTTGGTATCTCAAATAGTTCAGAATACAAAATCTTATTATTTATTAACTTGTGACTAATATGCATAAGGGAAAATATTTGTTTCATTTTATCTTTAAAGACGCAGAACCTTTAAAAACAACAAAACTCGATGTCTTATTTTGATCCTCCATGAATTTTGATTTCTTTTTGTTTTCTTTGTCTTATACTAGGGCGACATACCTTCTGTTGCATACCTCTTACAAAACGGAAGTGACCCAAACGTTAAAGACCACGCTGGCTGGACACCATTGGTAGTTTCCTATTTGCTTGTTTTTATTCCCATTCTGTTTGTTTTTCCTAGTTATTAATAGTTTATAGTTACATAGTTATTTCTGTATCACTCTCTGCCATATATATATATATATATATATATATATATATATATTCCCTTTTTAAATCAGAAGACATTTTCAACAAGAGAAAATGATTGACATCTAGCTCTTCAATTGTGATAGGCACTAAATGAGCTACCTTTTGACTGATTACCTTTAGATTTAAGAAACCAGTTATACCATATTATTGAACTTAGCAGCAACTGTGTGGAGAGCCAACATCAGGTTCCACGCTGCAGCTTTGCATGCGATTGAAGCATTCTGTAGAGCACAGAGAGAGACCAGAGGAAATGGGTGCTTAGCAAGGTATCACCAGCAGTGATTCTTACTGAGGACCTACCTCAGCCTCACGTACATACCCTACCCAATTCTAAATATATAGAGGCAGAATCATTTTTAAAGTCTCTGCTCGCTACTGTTAAAATGTAGTGTGAAGAGTAGTCTAGGAAAAGAATGGCACAAATACATGGAACAAGTGCTATGTGGGTTAATTAAATTAGGACGGTAAGTGTGTGATTTGAATATAGCCATAGCTGTGTCAACAGATGAGGTGGATGGCCTTACGCTGGGAACTGGAGTCACAAAAATTGGGAAATTCTTACTGGGTTAGAACATTATTATGGCTTCTCTTTGCCAAATTTAAGATGGGAAGGTTTAGTTAGGATCAGAGTGCTTGTTGTTCCACTCTGTGGCTTTGTAGTAAAAGTTGGTGAGTGATTTTTAGAGGACCTGATGCTGAATTTGGATTCCTTTATCCTAGAAATAAACTAAGCCTACAGATGTTTAGTTTAGTACTATCTGTTATGAATTGAATAGCACACTATGCCAGAAATGTATTAGATTACAACAGAGGGGCATTGTTAACAGTTCATGAGACATAAGGAAAGATTTATATATGAGATACCTTTGAACATTCCATTGTTACCAGTTATGTCATTCATTTAGTAAGCTTTTTTTAAGCATCTACTCCATGTCATTTCTGTTATCATTGATACTGGATGTACAGTCATCTGTAGCTTTAGCAAGTAAGAGAAGCTTGTCTTATACGCATTCACTTTATTGGGTTGTTATATACACTGAGTGGCAAGATTATTATGATCTCTGAATGCATAATAAATTGGCCACTCAGTGTATATCCTATATAATAAAAGGCTAAGATGCAAATTGTCCCCTCAACCAGTTCAACCAGCAGGCAAGCCAGCCAACTGCACATGTCCCCTCCCTCAGCCAGGTTGGCCGGACCCCACCCATGTACGAATTCATGCACTGGGCCTCTAATAAACACACACACACACACACACACACACACACACACACACACACACACACAGAGTGGCCAGATTATTATGCGTTCAGAGATCATAATAATCTGGTCACTTCGTGTATATGTGTACACCACTTAGCTTATGGCTAAGCATCTGATTTAATGAATTCTGTTCAGCCTTAGAGAATTTCAAATTTTATGCATGATTTAGTTGTTAAATACTTTCTAAGTTTTATTTTATTTTTCTTGTTTTAAATTTCTTATTGTAGAATAATTTAGGGCTCTTATTGGTTTATAGATACATTTTCTTTTAAAATAAGAGCACTTGACCTCAGGCTTTCGTGAATTGCACAGATCTTGATCACCATGTATCTTATCACCAAGGTTATGAATGGTGGGTTTTACTGTCAACAAATTATGGCCTGTTGTATGAGTGTTTAGGTAAGAACCAGTTTTGCTGACTGAGGTTCATATTTATTTTTCTAAAGTGTGGTTTTATTATGGCATTGCTCTTCCTCACCACTCTTCTCACTCCTTTTCTTTTCTCAAAATCAGCATGAAGCCTGCAGTCATGGGCACCTGGAGGTAGTGGAATTGTTACTCCAGCACAAGGCGTTGGTGAACACGCCTGGGTATCAGAACGACTCGCCGCTCCACGATGCGGCCAGGAACGGGCACATGGACATAGTCCAGCTGCTACTGTCCCACGGAGCGTCCAGGAACGCTGTGTGAGTAGTTCAGCGTGCAGACTTTTTTCCATTGGCTTGTATTCCTAAATCACGGTCTATCGGGAAGCAGACTTTTCTAATTCAGTTGATGGCTCTCTTTCATAATTAGGTTAGATGTGACCATTAAATCTGGATTTAGAATCATCATTCATGCCCTTTTTCTTTATGAGACATAGTTGAGGGATATATGCTCTTTTAATTCAGAAATAGTTGTCCAATTTATTTCGGAAGCTGTGACTTCCTATACAAATTCAATTTTTTTTAGATTCTTTGGATTGATTAATACTTATTATTAGGAAAAGAATTAGAAGCACAGGAATAACTATTATATGCTTACCAGTATTTTAAAATTGTTCTAAATATTCGATTCCTTTCCTTTTTTCATTTTTTTATTTCTATATATTTACTATAACAACTGTTAAAATTCAGATGTTAGGCAAGGGCTGTCACACTATTTCTAAGATTTTTCACATCATTCAGGTGAAACTCTGGGCCGTTGTTTTGCAGGATCAGGGCAGAGATGCCTTAGAGAGTGCTGGCTGCTACATTTACAGTTGTCATTGTAAAGACTGTCAAGCAAATGCTGTGTGTGGATTTTATATCTGTAATCTATAACTTGGTTCATGTCTCCATATATATTCTTTTACTTTTTGCAGTTAACGAGGTAGCTGAAATGGAAATGTTTCCCTGTGTTCCCATTGCTTCTGTAGGTTTGGAAGGAACACACAAAGATCAGACTTACTCAGGTTACAGAGGCAAATAGGAATTACAAAATGCAGAGCTGATTGGTTATCATTTTTATAGGTAACCGAATGACACAGATTACTGATACAAGAGTGCCTTGGCGCTTTTAGTTTCAGTAAGTGTGTCTAATATCCTTTCTTTCCCATCGTATGTGATAAAATACTTGGGGCAAATTCAGGGGATGAATATTCTTTCTTATTTTTTTGCTTTACACACACACACACACACACACACACACACACACACACACTTTGCATTAGGTCCGTATATAAATATGAGATATGGACCCTAATAGATATGACCCTCCTGTGGATGTAACAAGCTATTTGATAAAGAAAACAGTTGCGTGGGTCAGGTGAAATGGAATAGTTTCTGTCGTTGGCTTCTTAAATCAGCCATGACTACTTTAATGAATGAGGCACTGCTGGGGCATTAGGGAATCCAGGTTTTGTTTGTGACTCCATTATTGACTGTATAGCCTCAGGCAGGTTAATTTCTGTGCCTGGGTCCTCACCTATAAAACATGGGTGATGCCTGTTACTTTTCTATTTCTTCAGAGCAGAGTGAGGCTTAATGAGCCAAACACAGAGCCCATCTTGTGGCTCATACACCACAGGTCTTCACTGCACTCTGAAGCTTATTAATACACAAGGTCTGGGCATGAGACAATGAGTGAATCTGTCCTCACAGGAGCCTTCGCAGGTAGACATTCACCTGGTAAAGTGGCAGATGTAGGGATATCTAAAGCCCAGCACTGTCGGTAGACCGTTGTGCAGTGCCGGGAATGCTCTATAGCTGGGCAGGGCTCTCAGTAGCCACTAGCCATCTGTTGCTATGGAACATTTGAAATGTAGCTATTGCTACTGTGGAACTCACTTTTAACACGAATTTTATTTTAATGAATTTAAATAGCCATATGTGCCAAATGGCCACAGTGCTGGATATTGGTTGATACAGTTAGGATAGTGGGGAAGGAGGGTTAATTTGGTAGGAGAGGTTGGGAATGATGTTGGATAAAGGGTAGTAAGACAATTATAAAGCAAGTGCAGGGGTTGATTTAGTCCAGGGCAGTGGTGGGCAAACTCATTAGTCAACAGAGCCAAATATCAACAGTACAACCATTGAAATTTCTTTGGAGAGCCAAATTTTTTAAACTTAAACTTCTTCTAACGCCACTTCTTCTAAATAGACTTGCCCAGGCCGTGGTATTTTGTGGAAGAGCCACACTCAAGGGGCCAAAGAGCCGCATGTGGCTCGCAAGCCACAGTTTGCTGATCACGGGTCTAGGATTTAATAGTGTGGTAGCTATTTCTAAATGTTGTTGTTCCTTCTGTTCCAGACTGTTAGTCATCACACTTAAGTATTTTCTTTTCTGTTCTATTTCATAGTGTTGTTCACCTATTTGGCTTCACTATTTTCTGGTCTTTTTCTTTTCAGATTACTTTTTATTTTACAGCCCAAGAGCTTTCAAAAAATAAAAGCTTGGCCAAATTACTTATTTGCTTAAAATGCTTCACTGGCACCTCCTAATGTTTTTAAAATAAAAGTCAAACTTCACAACATGGTTTCCAAGTCCCTGGACGGTCTGACACTACTTACCTCTTCAGCCTTGTCTTTCTACACTTCCTCCTTCGTTCCTTTTTTTGCAATGACCTTTTAAAACTTTTTATTTCCTTAAAATGTGCTAGACTATTTTGTCTTTTAGCCTTTAAATAGACTTTATCCCTTTCTCTGGAATACTGGTTTTGGTGGCTAATTTCTAATCTCAGAATTTCCTTTTGCCTGACCTCTCTTGATTCCTTTGTCCATATATTGCGTTTCCTTCCAGTCATAGAACTTAAGTAGTAGTATCTTTGCTTCATAGTATCTTCTTACTAGAGGCACATGAAATTTATGAGCAGGTAGGGTCCCTAGGCCTGGCCTGCCTTAGAAAGTTCTGTATCTATTATGTTTTGTTGTTTAATTGCACGAATGATGCTAACACCACATGACTTTAAATATTGGTGGAAGGTTCAAGAACTATCTTCTCAGTAGTAATGTATAAAATGTAAAGATTACTGAGAGCCTTTCTGTGGCCCAGGAAGTGGGAAGAGTCAACTCAGTAATATAGCTAGGCATCGAATGGTTATGGAAGGCCAGGCCTTGGAAAGGAAGAATGGAACTTACCTACTGCAAAGTCAAGAGAATTGGAAAGCCTTTTATTGAATACCAGTGGAGGGAAATCTTGAAACCATATAAGGCAAGTCATGGTATCTAGGAATTAACCATATGCAATGTGAATTTAAAATAATGACACTTTATTTGCCATCTTCATGATTTAATTGAAAAGATCTAGGACTTTGATAGGTTCACCAACTGTATTTTCCCTTAGAGGCTACGATCTTCAACAATGAATTTTCCTACTGCAAGGTTTTGGGGCCTTAAATCATTATGATAATGGCGGACATATGTCTATAGTAGAAGGCCATCTATCTACTTGAGACCTTACCTTTTGCTTTGATTGAATTTCAATATTCTAACGCCTTACTGATTTTTCTTAAAGTTCCATTTTACTTCGAGTGCTTTATTATGTGCTTTGAACTTTTGCTGTGCAAACTTTGGCATTTTTTTAAGTGCATCTTAAATTTGAATTTAGTTTTAATTCCTTTAACTCTGAACTTTTATTTTTGTGACAGATTTACCTCTAGTATGCTAAAATAAGAGTCCATTTTTTAAGAAGATAGATGCATTCTATTTTAACCTCAGACATTGAGAAAAGAGTTCATGTCTTCTGTACTTCTTTGCTGCCTGAGAATATTTCTGTTGGTAACTGTTCAGAACTCCACTGACGGTCCTTCCTCCCCGCTGCCTTCCTTCCACTGTGTCCTGGTGGGAGCCTAAGACAACAGCTCCTCAGCCACATCAGAGCCATTCTGAGTGCATGGAGAATAGCAGATGCTTTTTTTACAGAAATGCGGTTTAGGATTTGGAACTTGATCTGCCATTAGCAGAGTTTTCTTTGGAAAGGTGCAGAATTCTTAATTAGAAAATATTATATGCACCATTGCTCCTTTCAATTGCCCTACCAAATTTAATTTTTAAAAAATTAATTTTCTACATCAGATAATTTATGTTTTATAGCTTAAAAAAACAACAACATGTTTCTCTTTTGAATTTCTCTGCTTTTCCCCTGCTTCACAGCAAGCCGAGTGACTTGAAAAATTAAAACCTATGTGCTTGCAATTTCATGGTTTTTCATGACGATTTTATTCATGGACTATCTCCTGTCAGTTGTGATAGGTTTAGCATCAGTAAAAATGCCTTTTTGCTTACGTGTATTTAAGATTGAGTGACCTGTATGTGCCAAGTGCAAGTTTAGATGTGCCCATCTCTCACTCCCCCCTTTTAATAGTGGTGTAGCTCATCACAAGTACAGTTGTAGGCAGGTGCCTAATATATCATTCTTGAGGGGAAAGGACATTACATGGTTATACTGTGTTCTGAACACCACTTCTGGGGTGAACCTTTAAACATTGTGGTTTAACCATTGGATAAGTATTTCTTTTTCATCAGTCTTAGTGATAAAAAAGAATATTAGTGGAGAAAAAGTATTTTCAGGGTAAACTAGTATATGCTTTGTGTCTTTAGATTTGCACAGGAAAATGAATATCTATTCCAATATTACTTCATGTTATTAAGAAAACAGGCTATTCTACTTTTCCTCGGTAATCCTCCATTATATCATTACAAAGCACAGATGAAGTGCATTATAATGTTGGGGAAAATGAAGATAAGGGTCCTGTCTTCATTCTTTATCTGTCTTCCGAAAGGGAAATCTAATAATGTTAATAGCTAGCAATCATTAGCTTTTACTATCTGCTAGGCACTGTTTTATGTGCTTTTGGTGTGTGGATTCATTTGGTCTTCGCGACAACCCTATAAAGTGGTAGGTTGTATTATTGTTCCCATTTTACAGATGAGGAAATGGGCGCAATAGGTTAATTCTTCTAAAGTCACACAACTATTGAGTGGCAAAGCTAGAATCTAAATTCAGGCCATCTGATTCTGTGACCTCAGCTCTATCTATCATACTCTATTGATGCCATCTCTTCTGCTTGCAACCATTAAGAGAGCTGGCTATTTAGTGTTTCTTGGTGTCATTGGGATAAAGTCCAACTGTAATATCACCCTTTTGTTCTTACTTAATCTGGTACCATTAAAGGTGAAAAATCAATCACAGCTTACATTTCCAGCTCATCCCTTCCCCATGTGCATTCTCTTTGTCTGTCTGTCTGTCTGTCTGTCTCTGTGTGCCTTACTCTCTTTTTCCCTTTTCTTTTTCTGTCTTCTTGCTCTTCTCTTTTTTTGTCTTCTAATTTGCCCCACTAGCTCTCTTCAGTGCCTTTGCTCACACTTTCCTCTCTCCTGGAATACTGGTATTCTACTTCTCTATCCCCTTCTTTTCCTTCTCCTTTTACGTCTAGGAAGTTTTACCAGTTTTAAGTCCTTCCTATTTGCTTCCCTCTGCTTTGTCCCTCCGAGCTCAATGAGGACAGAAGCTCACTGGTTCTTTAGTGACTGAAAGAGTTCTTAGAGTTTCTTGTTGAATGAATATTTGCCAAGATGATTACCAAATGATATTCATAACCCCCATGTTTACATACATGTGCTCATTCTGTGTGTATAAAGTAAATAACGATTAAATGATTATTGCTAGTTCTGGTATATGTATGTTATGTGTATGTATATTCAATGTACAGCCATTTTTTCATTGAATCTTTTAACTTCTATAGTAGCAATGGTTCTTCAGTATTTCTTAGTAGCTTTTGATGGCAAAAAGCAATAACTTAGGAACACTTAGGTTTCTGCAAAGACTTTAAAGTAAGTTTAAAATCTTCAATCACTAAAAGCTTTATATGAAATATATTTTCAAGATTCTGATGGAAAATAACAGCTAAAGGAATAGAGCAAGAATACATTAGAGGAAAAAAACTGGTAAAATTTTCCAATGTACTGTGTTGTGAAGGAACAGAAAAAAAATCAGAATCAAAGCGGTATCTTCTTGTTTAGTGATTTTGTAATCTTTCAATAACCAGAAAAATACATTTTTAGGGTTTAATGTAGATAAAGCATATTATCTGTGTAATCATTTGGAATTCACTGAATTCTGAGAGGCTTCCTTTGAAAGGGCATTCAGAGAACTGAACTGTTAGAAGTGATGCATTTGACAGGTATTAATATGCGCTACATGTAAAATCTACATATAATGCACTACATGTAAAATCAACAGTGAAGATGCTGATGTTTTTCCACATTCTGAGCACAGCCTGGTGTTAACATTAGCCCATATAGCCCATAGAGAACTTAACTAGTAGACGCTTGTGCTTTTCCATTTTCACAGTTACAGGCTGTCTGTCTCTAATGTCCATTGCTTCATGCCTGATTATTTCATCAATTTTCCATATCGTATTTGGCTCTTACGCATGAGCATGCAGTGATTAGACTCTTCAGCCTTGATGGAAGGCTTTCTTCCATTCATTCCATTCATTTCAGCAGTCATGTGGCTTATTCCCTCCACACACCCATCACATTCATCCACTACATTCCAATGTCTAGTCCTGGGGTTGAGGCCATTTTATTGGCTAATGTGTGTTCTTTACCTTCTTTGGAACGCATTTCATATTTTACCTCATTACTTGTGCTTTGGTTTATACTTTGTCAGTTGTATACTTATCTGTTGAATGAATATATCTCCTTTAAGATTACAGGCAAGGATAATATTTTTTTAAGTCTTACGTATTTCTCCAAAATACCTAGTTTACATGTTAGGTTTTAGGTTAAAGTATGTCAGAAAATATGTTATATTTATGAACATTTCGATAAAATTTCGTCTGAAAACTCCCTTAGGAACTCATTCTAATGAAATTATTGATGTTTAGCCTGAGTCTATGGTGTTGTGGCAGATCTAAAAAAATATATCTTTCCTATGTAGCAATGGAGAATAACAGATTTATTATGGTCTTCAATTAAAAAACAATCATATTGGTAGTCCCTGTGTGTGACATGTGACTTTTTCTTCTTGTGTTACCTATTTTTTTTTTAAAAAGAATACATTTAATTATGAACATTTTGAACTGATTTTTCACTCAAAATCTGTAAGCAAAGTATTAGCTCATTCAAATATATCAATATGGAGGAAAAAAGGTTTTATGACTTTTTTGTGCCCCTATAATAGAAAGGAGAAATTGTGCATATGTTCTGCCTTCTCTTGCTCTGGTTTATGAAGTTGCCATTTAAAATCTTGTGTCTGTTTCCAAGTTACAGTGGTCTACAACATCACAGAAACATGAGGATTTAATAGGTTTAACCGATTACAGGTGTACCGGTTAATAATGTGGATTTTATAATCTAGGAAAACACAATAATTTCAAGAGAAACATCAAAGTGCTTTATTCAAAGTGTGTCCATCGCCAGCTACACATTTCCCCATCTTTCAGGTAATTTGTGGATACCGTCCCAATAGAACTTTTCTTGTTTTGAGGCAAACCATTCAGAGACCAAATTTTCCACTTCTTTGTATGTGTTGAAGTGCTGCTTAGAAAGTACGTGTGCCATCGATCAGAACAAGTGGTGATCTGAAGGAGCAAAGTGCTGTCAATACAACAAAATAGCATACATATCAAATTGCATATATATATCAATTTGTGTAACTCCATCTATTGAAAAAAATCCACATTATTAACCAGTACACCTGGTATCTCTCAAACTAGCATTTGTAATGTGCCATTCTCTAGTTCACTAACAATACAGGAAGGCTAGGGGGCTAGTGAAAGGCTAAGGGGCTAGTGAATTGTGTTTAACTAGAAATCAATCACAATCTAAGTAGATTAACCACAGTGTTTAAAGACCAGATGAGATAGTAAGCTTTGTGTAAAGGACTGTAAACATAGTCATTAATGAAGCAGTTCTTCAGACAGTAGAAACATCTTATGAGACCATTGTATTATTTGTTAGTTTTTGGTCTAAAGTACTCATTAGCTGATGGTCAGGTACTTTGGGAAGTACTTTCATTAACATTTTTTTCATGTTGTTACTGTAGACTTGATTTGTATTCATGTAAAGTACGTATGCTGCAGTTATGTATTCAAGTACATGTGAGTGGGCTCATGTGATTACAAATTCTACAGTAGTCTTTGTTAAAAAGTCTTTATGTGTGCAGTGATTTTTTTTTTTTTATAGCATATACTGTGACTTTTTCGTTTTTATTCATTTTTGCACTTGGTGATTTAAGACCTAGAATGTCGGTTTTTGAACTCTGCTAATTTTTTTATTATCATACTTACAGAATATGTCTGTGAAGAGATCGTTGACATGTGGGCACAATAATTTAGGGAATGCAATTGAGAAGTATCAGTGTAGCGATGAGATCAGCTACTTTTGAAATGAGCTGAGATTGTCTGCTCTAACTACATGGGAATCTGTGAAGACCCACATTCCAGGACAGAGAAGTGTGTCGCTTTGTTGTAAACCAGAAAGCTGAAGTGCAGTTGATAGTAGTATACTTCATCTGGAAGAAGACTGTTGCCAGAGAGAGGTCACACATACCTAAACCTGGGCACAAAGGGGACTCTGAAAATACAAATCTATCACCCAAAAGTCATGGATAGCAGCCATTATAGAAACATTTGTTTCTTAATTAATTTGCTCCCCCCCCAATTCTGTGCCATCAAAACAACTTCCTCTAAGGTCTTTAATGACTTGTCCCTAAACCCAGTAGATGCTTGTGTGTCTCTCATCCAAGTGCCCCTCCATTCAGTATCGGAGATGACCCCCCCCCCCCCTTCCCTCTTCCCCTAATGTTTCACTGTTTCCTTCCGGATCTTTTTCTACACATTCAATACAGTTGTTAAATCTGGCATTATACTGGATTTATCATTTTATATCCTGTTTAATACATTGCATTTTCACATGAACTTTAGTGGCTGTTGTATGGATATATGATAATCTTAAAAGCCATAAAAGATTATGCCCTGGCCAGTATGGCTCATTGGTGTTGTCCCATGCACCAAAAGGTTGCAGGTTTGATTCCTGGTCAGGGCACATTCCCAAGAGGGGCGTGCAGAAGACAACTGATCAGTGTTCCTCTCTGACATCAATGCCTCTCTCCCTGTCCCTTTATTTCTCTCTAAAAATCAATAAAAAATATTTAAAAGGTAACAAGAGAAATAGTTATTTAGCAAACTTCTGCCATGGTGTGTAGTATATTAAAATAATTTTGAAATTGTATGTAAGGAAATAGATTAGTAGACAAGAGTTGTATAATTTCTAAAATTTACTAATAAATGAAAGACTAATGATGGGCAATAATGAATATTACTGTTATTGGACAAGAAAAATAAGTCATTGGACCTTTCTCTGTCTGTTTTCTCATCTTTGAAACAGCAGTCGTGTGTGTATCATGTCTCCTCCAGTGTGATAGTCTGTGACCTGTGAATTAGATAGTACATGTTGAGAAGTCTGCTTGTTCTCTGAACCATTCGAGTGTGTTCTGTGATGGTGTGGTTATTGCAGAGAGCAGTGTACATACCTCTTAAAGTTAACTTTAAAAGTCACTACTTTAAGTTGTTTGTCATGTGGCAGTGGTTTTCCTTCTTGTGGACTCAACTCCCTATCCTGTGAATTTATTTGATTTCTGGTTTCTGTGTTTATATAGATGATCGAGCCCATAATTGCTACAGTAAATTATTTTTATTTGCATTTGAAAACATCTCACACAGTGATTAATGATTTAAAATATTAACATGAACACAAGAATACAGAGTTGTGAAAAAATTCATGTGTAAATAACAACTTATTCAACTAAAAATACCCCCTGTGATTGTCTGGTGTCAAATTGAAGTTTCACCGCTTTTTTTTGTTGTTGAATTCAGTTGCTGTGTATGCTTGATCCTTATGCTCTATGTGAATTCTGAGTAATTTCTTTAGTAAAGAAATGTGTTAAGGAAGTTGAAAAAATTATTTTGCTGGCGCATTCCTTTAGTTAAGAATCAAATCACATATTTTATGTACTTAACCCACTTGTACTTATTTTGCCAGTAACATATTTGGTCGGCGGCCTGTGGATTATGCAGACGGGGAGACTATGAAATCGCTGTTGCTGCCGCCAGAGAAGAACGAATCCTCAGCCACTCACCATTGCTCAGTAGTAAGTGGGTTTAGCTTTGGGAAATTTCTATCTTTTACTGAAATTGGTTATTAAAGAAGCAAAATTAAAAAATTTTCTAGCAAATTGCTTTCATTTATGAGACAATTATTGAGCACTTCCTGTGTATTAGCTCTTGTGAATTTGAAGACATAATTGGAATAAATGTATTGACAAATATTTGTTGATACCCCCCCCTATATTTGAGGCAGCATTTATCCAACTGATAGAGCTCTTATTCTCAAGGAGCTTACGTTTTAGTGGGAGATAGGAAACATTGTAACTGTGTAAGCTAATCTAAATAAAATAATCCACCAGCATTGCCCACCGCAGTCAGCTATACACAGTGAGTGTGGCAGTCTCAATAGGAGGGACCGCTGCTCCGAGCGAGGAAGCATAGAGACCTTGGAAATCTGAGAAACCAGAGTTTGGTGTGAGAGGACATACGGTGTGTAAAGAGGAATTGACAGTGAGGAGCTAGGTTGCGATCAGAGTGTGAAAAGCTTTGGATTTCCTGAGGAGGAGTTTTGACTTTTCTTTCCCTGGTTAGTGGGCACCTTCACGTGTGTTTTTAATGAAGGGGGACTGAGAGGGCGGGGGGGGGGGGGGGGGGGGGCGCGCTGGTCAAGACTGGAGGCTGTGAGGAAGCTGTTGTGGCGGAGCCCAGGTGTACAGTGTCAGGACTGGTCTGCAGGTGGCGGCAGTGAGGCGGGATGGGGAGGAGAAGAGCGTTTTGGAGAGATGGATGGTGGATTCCCTATATTTGGCAACTGCTCAGATGGGGGAAATAAGAAAAAAGGCTAGGTTGACATCTAAGACCATTAGGGAAGACTTCTTGTCCAGTAAGGGCAGTGGTAATGAACTGGAAGAGAACCTAGAAATCGGGTTAATTTCCTCAATTTAGGAATGAGACCTAGAAAGGTTGTGATTTGCCCTGGGTTAATCAGCTGTAAAAATTTTTTTGAATGGATCCGTTAGAACACCAATTATTAGGTCAGTACTCATTCAGTCTCAGCATACTATAAATTGGTGCTTATTTTATTCATTTGAACTTGAACTCTTCTGGCAGGACTCAGCATAACTAAGTTGTCATTTGCCAACGTTCTTTTAATGTAAAAGCCAGAGAAATATTATTTTTAATGTGTCAAAAATAAAGATATCTTTATGAAATTCTTGGAGTCTGAGGATATGAATGCCTTTCAGAAAAAAGCAACGTGATTATCCTCCTCTCAATTCAATTAACCCTATTACTAATGTGTTTTTTCGTAAGTGTAGGAGACCTATACTTTGTGTGTGTCACATGGACATGGCCAGTGAATATCATTATTTATTATCTTAATGGTAGATACTTGATAGTAATGGTAGGTACCGTAACCAATGATAAGTTCTAAGTTGAAAGGGGTTTTCTCTATGTGCAATCATAAAAGCTTAGCTCTGGGATCTGCCTTCCTCCAATCATACCAGACTCCCTTCACGCATCCTTTTCCAGCCACATGGGCTGTCTTGCAGTTTTTTGAATCCACCAAACATGCCCCATTTTAGGTCCTTAGCACTAGCTCCTACCTCTGCCAGGAAACGTGGGACCAGAAGTGCAAATGGCCCTTACTCTTCAGATTGGACTCCCCTGTATCTCACCAGAGAGCTCCACATTCCAGTATATGAACTAGCCCCTGCGGGACGGACATGATTTATTATTTTGTTGCTTCCTCCACCCCCAGCCCTCCCAGCTAGAATGTGAGCTGTGTGAGGGCAGGCACTTGCTCTTTAGTGTACTCAGAACAGTGTCTGGCAGATAGCGGCTCTCTCTGTTTGTGTTGTCTGCATGAAGGCTGGTTGTTCATGATACACACTTGCCCCTGAAACAAGCACAAGTGCTTCATTGTTGAGTCTGAAATCCTTCAAGTCAGTGATTTCTAAACTCTGCGAGCTGCTTCTCCGGAAGAAGAAGGGGTGACGAGTCGGTGGGGGTTGAGTTTCTCTACTTCCCATGTACAAGTTTTATTAGTCTCAAGTGCAGGTTAATGGCTGCTGGGAAGCATGTTTACATTTGAGAAGCAGTCTTGAAGCTTCAAGACTTAAAATGCTGCTTTCCAGGTTCATATTGTGAATTCTCTGCCCATGCTCCCTTTAAGCAACTTCTGTGTCCTTTTCCTTCTTTTCATAATTCTTAAACCATATTTTTTATAAACTCATTAATTATGAATAAGTGATTTATCTAAGAAGACATTCCATATCCAATTTTGCTTTAAATAAGAGTTTAATGACAGTGTACATAGTATCTGATCACTATCAGATCAGGGTATTGAACCCCTTGGGGTGTGGTGTTGTTGTTTTTTAATATATTTTTATTGATTTCAGAGAGGAAGGGAGAGGGAGAGAGAAAGGGAAACATTAGTGATGAGAGAGAATCATTAGTTGGCTGCTTTCTGCATGTCCCACACTGGGATGGAGCCCACAACTTGGGCCTGTGCCCTGATGGAGAATCGAACCCTAACCTCCTGGTTCATAGGTCAACGCTCAATTACTGAGCCTTGCTGGCTGGGCTTGGGGTGTTTTTGAATGTCTTTTGAAACTCATGGTTCTCAGACCTCTGCTTATTCAAGCCAATTGTCTATTACCCCTCCCGTCACCACTGTCTCACATAGGCAAGTGGCTTCGGTTGATTCTGGGTCAGGGCACATGCCCCAGTTTCAGGCTCCATCCCCAGGAGAGGGCACGCAGGAGGCAATGTGTCAGCGATTCTCTCTCATCATTGATGTTTCTCTCTGTCTCCCTCTCCCTTTCTCTCTGGAATAAATAAAAATATATTTTAAAAAATGAATTATTGAGGTCTATTTATAGATGTAGCCAACAATGTAGATGTAGTATTGTAGGGCATCAGACTGGATAAGTGATCTCTATGATAGGTGAAATACATGTATAAATGCCAGCTTTCTCTAATCTAGTTGCTGAATTGGGTTGGTGATCATATTGTCAGTGATTCACTCCTGTTCTTTGGAGCTTTGAGATGCCAGATATCCAGTACACATATAGACTCACACAGAGAAAACCCTAGGTCTTGTATTTGAAAATTGCACTCTTGTTTTTTTGATTTATCCTTTAATACATTTGTGTTGGTTTACCTTTTGTTTTCTTCATTGCGCAGTCATTGCTTTTTTTTTAATTTTTAAATCAGATAACTTTCAGCTAATTCTGATTCCAATTCCATTTATTAAATTTCTGTTGGTTACTGTTGGATACACTATCTGTCCCATTACTTTTTTTTTTTTTTGAAGCTTTCAATTCTCTTTCCTAATGCCATCCATTGATGACTTCTCTTTATTTTTGTCTTTTTTAATCTCCAGTAATACAGTTCTCGGTCTTTCTATAGAACTTCTTTCCTTTCCATGAGTTTCATTGACTTACTACCAAGGTGAATCTGGTCTAACTTTTGTATTCTCTTATCTATTTTTATTTTCTTGGTTTTGAAAAGTAACTATTCCAGGGTTAAAAATAGGTTTCTATCTTTTAGATTACTGCTGTTCTAGATGTCTTAGTGTTTTTATATTTTACTTTTCACATAATTTATTTCAAACTAAATAGACCAAGTTTGAGTTCAACTCTATTAGAATAAGTTAGTGGAGCGGAGATAGGGAATTGATCATTTTAAATGGGTATTTGGGGTTACTTAGAAAAAACACACAAAAAAACAAAACAAAAGCAAAAACAAAACTTATTGGTGACAGAATGAAGTTGTATACCCTAAAGAGATGCAATTTAGAATCAAGGAAACAGGATGCCCTGAGAGAAAAGAGCTATCCCATGTAATATTTAAATGGGGAGGGGGGAAGAGCGGTCATTTAAATGGATTGAGCATTAAGGTTTTGAGTGATGAATGAATGGAAATATTGGGAATTAGTAAATAGAGTAAGCTAAGTAATGAAATTCAAGCTTACATCAATTGAAGGTCAGCTTATTTCTTTCTCTGGTCCTTCAGTGTTGTTAACACTGGCGTCTCCTTTATTCCCAGGTGCCTGCTGCCCAGCGGAGGGACGGGCCTCTTGTGCTCATCGGCAGCGGGCTTTCTTCAGAACAACAGAGCATGCTCAGTGAGCTGGCAGCCATTCTTAAGGCTAAGAAATGTGCCGAGTTTGACAGTACAGGTGAGGACTCTTTATTCATTTTTGGTAGAAAAAAATTTTAAACAGGTGATTCCTCTGTAGAACTCCATTGGGTTATCACTATGTACTTTTCATCTTGTAATAAATCTAAAATCTTCCTATAGTGATAAACCACTTATAGGCTTAATTTGGTTAGGAAATGTAAAGTTTGCTCTCAGTTTAGTATAGAACAATATCTGAGAAAAGCAAACTTTTGAGTTTGCTAATGACAAATAAATTGTAGTGCATGTAATGCTTTAAATCCTCAATTTAGACTTGAAAATAAAGGGGAAAATATGGTATAGGCTAGTGTGACTTTAAGATATTTGCTTTATGAAATGATTTTTCATGTTAGTGGCCCAACTTCAGAACAAAGAAGGCTTCTACATTTACAAATTGTTGTTTTTGAAGAAAATCCAGATAGAAGTTTATAAGGTGCAGACTAGTTATAAAAAGCAGACTGGTAAATTATTTTGGTTTATGTATCTGTTTCTCCTTTTGCTTTTTTTGTATTCTAGTGACTCATGTCATTATTTCTGGTGATACAGTTCAAAGTACCCTGAAATGTATGCTTGGGATTCTCAATGGATGCTGGATCCTAAAATTTGAATGTAAGTGTTAGATTTGAGAGAATTAAAAAGTGAATTAAGTAGACTAATTTCATTTTTCATAGTGTACTGTTGCCAATAATTATTTAAGGAACTTAGACTAATTTTCTTACCTCTGGCTAGTATTGCATTTTACAAAAGCTTGTCATATTTATGGAATCATTTGGATGTTTGTGGTAAATGCTTATAGATATGCTCTGGTTTCAAAGTATTTTTTTCTACAATACGAACTATTTTAATAATGTGTAAATGGATTGTAGAGTAGACTTTTTAAAAAAATTATCTTTATTGATTTTGGAGCGGAAGTGAGAAGGGGAGAGAGATAAAAACATCAATGATGAGAAAGAATCATTGATCCTGCACACCCCCTTACTGGGGATCGAGCCTATAATCCGGACATGTATCCGTGACTGGAATACAACTTGGGACCCTGCAGTCCACAGGCCTGTGCTCTATCCACTTAACCTAGGGTTGTGTAGTAGACTTTTTAAGCCCAAGCAATCCATTTACTATTAAGTGATCAATTTAACTTAATAAATGCATGCTTTAAATATACTGTTAGGGAATAAAAGCACTTTATTGCTTTTCCTCTATGATTTCTAAAGACTTATATGTAAACACTCCTTTGCCTTTCTCAGCTAATCTGATCTATTTTAGCAAACTGCTGGGGAATTTAGACTGCCGTACCTTGTGTAACACCCAGTTTGGGGCAGTTATATTTTTTATCTAGACCTTGCTGCAAATGTATCCCCGTTACCCGCTTCTTGTTGGTAGTCAGATAACACCATTATCAGAGCTGCTTTCACCTTTCCTACTCTTGACTTGTTTGCTTTTCTTAGCCTTGGATTCAGTTAGGACTTACAAACAAATAAAAAGAAAACTAACACAAGGTTATTTTCTACTCCCGAATAGCAAAATTATCTACTTTGGTTACAGTGGCTAAAGGAGGACATAGATTGACCATTTTTTGTAGAAAAGAATAGTGGTGGTAAAGGGGTTAAGGAGGAGTCTTGAGTATTTTTATCCTAGTGGGGGTTACCTTTCAAAGGTAATTAAATTATATATTTATAGGCATACACATACCACACACACATAAGTGCATGTGTAACTGATGAGATCTGACTAAGCTATGGATTGCATCAATGTCAACTTATGACTTTGGATATTGTGCTATAGTTGTGTAAGATGTTAACATTGGTCCCTGGAGGAAACTGCATGGGACTTCTGTGAATCTAATTATTTCACATAAAACATTTAAAGAAACATTTCATATATTTTTATGAAACTTTCTTTTTAAGAAGCAAATAGTGGGTCAGAATTAGTTTTTAAAAACTTTTATGGCTTTGTGCTTTGAAATTTTTATGGTAGAAATGCCTGATTTATTAAGATCTTAATTTAATGTATAATTTGAAGTTGATTTGGTTTATAAAACTGTTTCCTTTTAGCATTTTGTATTCATGCACTTTAAAAAAAAAAGCTATTTATTGATTTTTAGAGAAAGGAAGGGAGGAAGGGAGATGGATTTGTTGTGCCACTTATTTATTCATTTCCTAGAGGCCCGATGCGCGAAGATTCGTGCAGGAACGGGCCTTCCTTCCCCTGGCTGCTGGCACCGCCTTCACTTCGGCTGGAGCCTCCTTTCTGCCTTCCCATGATGCCCAGATGCCCCGAGCCCAGAGCAGCTCTGGCCATGCAGAAGGCCTGTGTCGTTGCCATGGCAATGATGCAAGTGTCCCACCCTGCCCCCACCTGCTCTGTGCCTGCATATGCAAATCAACCCAACATCTTTGTTGGGTTAATTTGCATACCCATTCCTGATTGGCTGGTGGGAGTTGCAAAGGTAGAGTCAATTTGCATCTTACTCTTTTATTAGTGTAGATTGGTTGATTCTTGTCTGTGCCCCGACCAGGGATTGAACCAGCAATCTTGGCCTATTAAGACGAATCTCTAACCAACTGAGTTACCAGGGCAGGGCAGTGTAAATGTCCTTTATAAATGCAGCTACCATTTGTCTTGTGATGCTGGTCTCCACTGATAATGTTTCTGTCCAGCTAAGTGGATGTGACTGGCAATGGCACCCCCTCTGACCTCATCATCCTGTTGTTAGTCTCTTTCAGTCATGACCAATTTAACAAATATGGTCCGAAAAAAATTTTTTTCCCTTTTTTGTCTCATTCCTATTTTTTTTTTTTTTTTAACTTTTTTTTCCTTTCAAATTCAAGTCTTACTGGGCCTCAATGTTTAAAAAATTGATTTAAAATGATTCCATGATTCTAGATGCTTTTGTACTGAATCTGTGTCAGAAATCTTGCCAGTGGTTACAGGAAGGAATACATTTTCATAATAGTAAGGTGTCAGTAATAAAGCCATGTGAAATTTTAAAAGTTATAGCATTTACCACTTAACTTGAGTACCGTATATGGTTCTTGTGAATATGCTGAACTTGCATTTGATTACATATACAGGCTACATGACTCATGTCCATAAAATCTGCCTTCTTTAGGAAATGGAAGTTTTTGTCAATTGAATGGCTTGTCAGTGTCATTTTTATAGAATCACTGATGTACTCTAGCTGACTTAATAGCGTACTATTTGGTGATTCTCACAGTAGTGAATAACATATACTAATATCAGTGATTCTTTCCATGTAAAGGATGGATGGGATCTGATAGACGTTCATAACACTATACTTTCTAATACAGAGTTAAAGAGAAATAGCTTTAGGGCTTGAGACAATTACTTTAAATAGTCACTGGGTTTGTAAAAAACAGGCAAGAATGCTCAAAATACCTCTTTTTCCTAATATATATTTCTTGCAGTTTCTATATCCTTAGTCTTAGGCATTCGGTTTGATTAAAAAAAAGTTCAGGACTATTCAAAACTATCTGGAAACCATGTATATCAAAGAAAATATGGAGCAGAGCTTTCAAAGTTAATTGTAAAGTTTTGTGACTCATTAAAACTAGATATTGCATTTGAGGTTATGCATTAGTTTGTTGGAGACAAAAATCTTTGCTGGCTTAACTATGTAGAAACATTAATATAATCTATTTTAATGGGATTTCCCATAAACTACAGAGATTCAAGGGGAAACTAAATGTTCTCTGAATAATTGACTTATTTAATAAATTAAACAAATTAACAAAAAGAAAAACTGTTCAATTTATTGGAAGTTTTCTGTTTAAACATGTTTTGTCTTTGTTGGTTAATAACCCTTATTTTTCTACGGTGTATGTGGAGAGTTCACTTATTGGATTTAGCATGAGGTTTGGAAAATCAGCCATAATTTTGCTGTTGCACCATTCTGTCTTATATGTATTTTTCAGATATTTTATAGAAATAGGAGCTAGAGACAGGAAAAGTTTCTTCTTCAAGATTAAATTTTTGGCTGAGATTCTATTTTAGTTCTAGTTTTAGGACTAACCTCCTCATAGACAACTTATAACCAGCTCTGTATAAGGGTGAGTTTTGGTAGGGAGGTGACTAGAATGAAATAATGGAAAAAATATAAATGTCATTTCATTTATCCCTGAGAGTATAAATAAGGTAGAACTGCATCCTAAAGATGTAAATGAGCTGTCAGTGCGAAAATATGTTTTGACCTGCCCTTTTAGTACACTGCTTTCAAAATTTCCTCTAGTCTAACCTTTAAAGAAACATTTTTTTTTTAAATTCTGCCTCTTCGTTTTTCATCATGGTAAAGGGGAGAACAGATGGCTGTCATCTTTTCTTTAATAATCTCTCCCTCTTCCCCAATCTCATTTAAGTTTAAATATAACTGCTGCTGTGGAAGCTTTGAAAGTCCTCGGCACCTCAGGGAATTGCTGTGGGAATGTGCCAAACAGTTGACATTGGACTTGAGTCTGTGGTGCTCGGAAGGGCCAAATAAGGTGGTTTTTCCTTTTTGTTTTAATTTGGGGAAGATGGAACCTAAAAGACAATCATTATTTGTCTTTTTATTATAAACCTTTTAATCAGGTTAATATGCTTTTACTTTTCTATTGAAATTTATTTCTTTGAATGAATATTGAGAATGCTGTGGGATTTTAAAAAATTAATGTAATTTTTTTATTCAAACTTTGCTAATTATCAAAAAATGAATATACCAAAGCATTTATATCAACTAAGATTGATTAGGCAACTTCATGCTTACAGAAATTCTTTGCTGAAATTTTGTAAAAATAAACATAAACATCCTTTGGCCTAATAATTTCCCTTCTGAGAATTTACCCTAATCAAGTAATGAAGATAAAAGAACAAAAAAAAGTTATTTGTGTTATTATTTCTAACTAGAGGCCTGGTGCATGAAATTCATGCATGGATGGGGGGGGGGGGGAGTACCCCTCAGCCTGGCCTGTACTCTTGCAATCCTGGGTTGCTGGCTCCTAATGGCTCACCTGCCTGCCTGCCTGCCTGAGCACCCATAACCACCTCTGCCTGTCTGCCTGATTGCTCTTAACTGCTCATCTGCCTGCCTGATTACCTCTAACCACCTCTACATGCTTGCCTGACCTCCCCTAACCACTCTCCTGCCTGCCTGATCACCCCTAACCACTCACCTGCTTGCCTGGTTGCCCCTAACCACTGTGCCTGCCTGCCTGATCGCCTCTAACCACTTGCCTGCCTGATTGCCCCTAGCCACTCACTTGCCTATCTAATCTCCTCTAACCTCCTTTGCCTGCCTGCCTGATCACCCCACCTGCCTGCCTGATTGCCTCTAACTGCCTCTGCCTCAGTCTCTGCTGTGAGGCTTTGTCTGGAATGACTTCCAGAAGGTCATTTGACTATCCAGTCTAATTAGCATATTACACTTTTATTATTATAAATAGAAAGAAGTTGGGGGAATAACCTAAATATGAAATAAAGAAAATTCTGTAAGTTTTAGTAACATTCTCTGAAAAGAATTATATTTTTATATGATTATTAACACTGAAGTATGAAAACAGGATTGTTTCAGTTTTAAAATGAATAGGACAATTAATACCTCTACTTTCAATAATATATAAATGTGTGAATGCAAACAGCAAAGAAATAATCAAAAGGAAACAGTTGTAGATTAGTAGGTAGATACCTATTTTTTATAACATTTTAAAAACAGTGTCTGTTCAGCAGAATTCAAGTTCTCTGGAAATAATAAGTTGCAATAATAGTATCTTCTTTACAGTTTTTTCAAAGAGTAATTGGATAGGTGAGGGCTTGGGTCTCAGTCACTGAAATTATAACCTGTGTGAGTGTGCACTTCTCCACTCTAATCCATCAGATCTTTTATACCTGTTAGGCAGATCTAGCAAATACAGTGTCATATGGTGATCTAATCAAAACAGGTATTCTTTTTTTAAATGTTATTTTGTTGTTTAAAGTATTACAAATAGTAGTACATAAGTCTCCTTTTTTTTTCCCTTTGACCTTCCCCGGTCTCCCCTATCCCCTTGGCACATGCTTTCCCCCCCCCCCCCCCCCCCCATCTTGCATCCATTGGTTATGTTTATATGCTTGCATACAAGTCCTATGAAAGGAAGAGGCTGTTTAGATGCAGCATCAGGCCAAAGCAGATACAATTTATGTGGTTGTGTCCAGCACACCCGTTTAATTTTTGTGTCTTTGAGTGTGATGTGTATTTTCCCGTTCACTGCTGTCTCCACAACTTCCTGCTGGTTAACACCAGGCTCCTCCCAGCTGTTTGGAATCTGACGGGCTCTTGGACACATTATGGTTAACAACCCTTGGACTAGATGTCACTCCCAGCTTGTAAGAAATTCTTGATGTTTCTTATGCTATGACAGCAGTTCTCACAGACCACTTTGTCGCCATTCAGAATGTTGTTTCTTAGTTTTCAGTGGGGAAACACGCTATATGTTATTTTAGTTGGAGCTTCATTAGGTAGCCTAGAGTGTTGGCACATTGTTCCTTAGAATAAGAGAGTATCAGAAGGATGTATTCATTCAGCTCAGTAATTAACTGTGGATTTTTCTGCCTTACTTCACAGAAACTTACTGAACAGCTGCCGTAAAGCTGAAAGGTTTATGACTTGCAGCATATTTACACTCTGAGGCACTAGCATCTTCCTGTGGAGGTGCCACGCTTCCCTGATGGTGCCTGCCGTCTCCTTTTCTTGATGCCAGCTTACCTCATTCTAGTATCTATTAAGGCTACATTCTGCTGAGTGACTAATGTCAGTACATTACCAGCATTGATAGATACTATTTTAATATGCTTTTTTGACAGTAAATAAAACCATAATGAATAAGCAACAAGTATAGTCATGGCCCATTAATTTATTTCTTTAATTAGACACTAGCCATCCATTTGTTACAGTAGATACATAGGAGTGTTCAGGGTTAAGTGGTTAAGTCCTTGGCTTTATAGGTTGGTATATTCATTTATCTAAAGATTCTTATGAATGCTCTGCAAATATTAAGAAAGATTTAGAAATGGGGCTCTATGCTTGATAAAAAGCTGAAGTAATAGTTTACATGTAAAATAATGAGTGTGATGTAAATCAGTGATATAGCTAGATTGCTAATGTTTTGGGGGTTTGGTGTTAAATATGGAAGTAGTGTATGATGTAATGTGAACACACTGGCAATGTTTTTGGGATAATACTTTGACCTAGTCGGACATTTTGAGGTTCATTTTTAATACACAGTAAAGTTACTATTTTAATATTAGCTTCATTAGAAAAAGTTTTTTACTCATTGAGTGATTAAAAATTGTCTTTGTAAAATATGTTTACTACATGCAAAAACAATTTATATAGAACCATGACATTTATGATAAATTAGTAAGAAGAATAAGATTTAGACATTCAATGTAGTAAACATGGGTAAAATAGAATTCTTTTATTAAAAACTTTGAGGGAAAGTGACATCAAAGCACAGGCAAAAGTAACAAATTAAGAATCACAAGATAGAGGATTATAGATTGGCCACGGTTTAATGTTGCATTTGAATATGCATGAGTAGCCCCAAGTCTGGAAAATATTTAACCCCTTGACAAAGCTCTGCTATTGTAGAGACCAAGTATTGAGTTGTTCAGTCTTCTGACTTTCACGTATGGAGCAGCATCTTGGAACATCTCAACGGAAGCAGCTCTAGGGCAATGTTGCTCACCAAGTCCTCTCTAGAGGGTGACTTCAGTGTGTACCTGTGGGATCCCAAACATGTTTGTAGGCTCTACTTGTTGATTGTATCAGGCACTGTGGAACCCTGTCACATGGCCACCCGAGCACTTTCCTTGTCAGGTTGCTCATAGTCCAGTGTCAGATGAGACGTGACCGGGAGAAGCCTGTTGTTGATGGTAACAAGCACTGTGAGATAGACCCCTGTCCTGTGTCCAGCTCAGCCAGGTGCTGTGGACCAGAGCACTTTTGCTCAGAGTCCAACAGGAGATGCAATATGATTGGGAGGATGAGCATGCAGATGATAGCATTCAAGTTCAGATTGCTGTGGGCTGAACTAAATGGGACTTTTATTCACCTTCCTTTTGATAACTTAGAGTTTTATTTGTGTATGAAATAGTGTATTGATTTTGGTTTTTCAGAAAGGAAACAAATTTGCTAGTGTCAGTATGACTTCATTGCTCAGTCCTCGGAAGGAAAGATTTATATTCTCTTTATATGGAAAGCCCATTTTATGACACTTGTTTTAGCGTAAGTAAAGTTTCTATTTTTATTTTGAAAAAATACTTAACCACGAAGAAGAATCACTTAGGTAAATTTCTTATTTTCAGTGAGAAAGAAGCCACGCTCACTGGATAACCTATTTCTCGTTCTTGTTTTTGGTCAGGGGTGAAGGCATGTCTACAAAGCAAACAATGCGAGCAGGAAGAGAACTACGAGATTCCTCAAGGACCACAGAGAAGCAGGCTGAACCGCGAACAGCTGGTATTTTCCTTTTGCTACTATTTCATTGTTCTTATTTCTGAATATTATTATCACATCAGGAAAAACTTCTCCTGCCCTTTCAATGAGTCCAGGTGACTGATTAAAATTTTAATTGTTCTGATTTCAAGCATTTGATTCTAAGAGATGGTCACAAAGAGCAGTAAAACCCATAAGGTAATAATTTCACACCATTAATGGGTTTTTGGCATCTCAAACGTTCCCATAAACCTTTCAGAATCTGAAGTGAAGTCGCAGATACAGGAAAGAACTTGAAAGAAGACTTACAGCTGTTGCTCGGATTTAGTTCCCATATGTCTTTACTGCCACATATTGCAGTTTTAATGGATGATGTTCATTATCCTGTTGATGTACATTAGAAACGATGAAGAAGAAAAATTTTCATACTAGGGAATTCTGAGGCTTTTTTGTTGTTGTTGTTCATAAAGCACACAGAAGTGCTTTTCTTAGCTAATTGGACCCTTGGCCATGGCTTTGGAATGTATTGTGCTCCATGCAGTACGTCTCTAACCCTGGAGCCTTAGGCTGTTACTATACAGGGCCCTGACTATAGACGGGCAGAATGATAACAGTCCATGGAAAAGATGGTATCCCTGAAGCATAGTTCAGATACCAGGAATCCTTGGGCTTTTTGGTCCCACCAAATAGGAATTAATTTTCTGATAAAAGAAATTTGATGAACAGTTTTTCTTTATTTTTTTCATGTGTGGTTGTTTTATACAAAACACATCTAAAATCTGATGAGAGTCAAAAGTACCTGAGATGCTGACTGAGTCTTCGGGGAAAAAAGTATAACTAGGAAACCTATCAAGGCATAGGTCTTTTATTCTGACCCAGAGAGTTCACTAGAAATACACCACATCTTAGTGCCTCCTTAAGTAATTTCTTAACTGCTCCTGACTGTATTCCCTCATTTATATGCAGTGTTTTAAAATATTTTGATCTGCTTTTAATAAGCTTTTTCTTTTAAATTTATATATTTTTAATTGATTTTAGAGAGGAAGAGAGATAGAAACATTAATGATGAGAGAGAATCATTGATCAGCTGCATCTTGCATGCTTCCTACTGGGGATGGAGCCCACAACCTGGGCATGTGCCCTTGACCAGAATTGAACCCAGAACCCTTCAGTCCATAGGTGGATGCTCTACCCACTGAGCCAAACCAGCTAGGGCACAAGCTTTTTCCTTTTGTTGTTTCAGTTGCCCAAGCTGTTTGATGGATGCTACTTCTACTTTGGGGGCATCTTCAAACACCACCCCAAGGACAACCTCATGAAGCTCGTCACTGCAGCTGGCGGCCAGATCCTCAGGAGAAAGCCCAAGCCTGACAGCGATGTGACTCAGACCATCAACACGGTCGCCTACCACGCCAAGCCCGACTCCGACCAGCGCTTCTGCACACAGTACATCGTCTACGAGGACGTGTCCAGTCACCGCCCCGAGAGGGTTCGCCAGGGCAAAGTGTGGATGGCGCCCTCCAGCTGGTTCATAGATTGTGTGCTCTCTTTTGAGTTGCTCCCTCTTGACAGCTGAGTGCTCCGCCGCAGGCACGCTTCAGGTAGAATGTAGGCAGTGTGAGGACCAGCCATGTCACTGCTTTGATCATTCTCATTTTTATAAATAGGCAGACCGACGCACATTTAATTCCTTAAATTAAAAAAAAAAACAATCTTATGCCAGAATAGGAAATTATTCTGTGTTTACCAGCTAGATGCTGAGATTGCATTGAAGGATTATCTTTTTAAACCTGATGCATGTTTTGATTCATCATGTCTTTGTACTCAAATTGTCAGCTATCAAAGATTAATAAGAGGGTATTAGAACTATTGGTTGATGTAACAGGTGCTGTCAGGAATGTCTCATTCTTTTAATTTTTTTTGATGAAATAATCTATGCCTGCCACCAGCAGGAATTGTCCTTCTTTAGTAAACAAAACAAAGCATTGTCAGATAATTTATTGTTATGAAAATACAGTACCTCGTAGGTGTTAATGTCTCCTCTCTTCAGTTGTATTCATTTTACATTTTTCTTATATCTTAGTTTTTCTTATAAGTTTCTTGGATATCTGTAGCTACATTTTTATTCCTTATTTTTATCTTGCTTCTTGATCAGGAAATCATGATTTGAAACTTAGCGTTAGCTGTTCTTTGGTGATGAAAGTCAGCATTGGCTCATGACACTTATTTTTTATTGTATGCACTTGCTTATTGTTGCTGCTATATTTATCTCCATGAATACCTAAGACAAGCATTTTCTCCAACATATTTTAGTATCAATATCTCTTAGAATGTCTCACCAGACTAGCAAATTGTCAATCAAATGGTAGACCTTGCTACCTATTGCTAAAATAATTTTTAAAGGTCTTAATTTCTTCCTTCATAAGGTTTTTGTTACTGTTGTTCCTTCCTCCCTTCCTTCCTCCCTTCCTCCCTCCCTTCCTTCCTTCCTTTTCTTTTTCTATGACTACTACTACTACTTTCTAAATTTTTTGGTTGCTGTTGAGGCAGAAGTTGGGGATTACTTTATTTAGAACAGATTTTATCCAGATAGCACAAAAGGCCATAACAGTAAGTCTAGAGGTAGGAGTGGGAAGAACTTACTCATAATAGCAAAATAGTCAAGGCTGCGGAGTAGTGAGCAGGAGGCCACCTGAGGAGGTTACTCCAATCTAAGTGTTCTCGTCAGTGGATCTGCAAGGTACATTAGGTCATTTAAAAACATGTTTTAAGAATCTTCCTAGAAATGAAATGTTCTTAAAGGACATGGAAGGAAGATACTGTGACACCTGCCAGCTTGGTCACTCCTGGGCCAAAGGGACAGTTGGATGGCCCCTGGACTGGAAGACTGAGAGCCTGGAGTTAGTGGACATTTTAAGATTCATTTATTTTAAAGTTGAAGAGTCTACTGATTATTCAAAATAAATTTTACTTTAGTTTCTTCTTAGACATGTTACTTTTTGATATCAAGAAATATATTATGTGAATACAGGATGTACTACTAACCCTGACCTTCAGGGGTCAATGAGCTCTGACTCTCCAACCAGTAATGTGTCTGTCCTGCATCTCATTCTTATGGAGAGTGATGAGCACCAGCACCACCCAGAGCTGAGGGTTACATAATGTCTGGATGGGAGAATTTAAGATGCATTGGGCTTTGGGTTGTCATTTTTGATTTATAACTGACTTTTCCTCATTTTCTATTAGCTCATTGGTCACATTCCTGGGCAGGTGTGTGTCTGCTCCTCTGATCTGAATCCCTGTTTGTAAAAACCCCTTTGGGGATGTTGCTCACTTTCCTTCATTCCTTTTCTTGGTCTGTCCTTCTCTCTCTTTGTCGTATTTCCCCTCCCACCGTTCAGCAGTTTTATTTTTGCTTTCTTTAAATACTTCTTTTGATGACAGTGGAATGATGTCAGACTCTTGAAACTTGTACTTTCTGCATAGATATGCTTGTAATTATTTTTATTTCTAATCATAGATTCAAGCATCCGCTTATTTACCTTAAATTATTAAAGTTATTTGTGTTTCTGTATCTTCTTAGAGGTGGTTCATTCTGCTCCTGGAGAATGAGACCCGTTAAGACTTGTGAGGAAATCTTTCAGCTAATAAACACTTGTCTTTTGCAACACTAATGCCTTTTCATGGATACCTGGGAGTTTCTGTAAGAATGGTTCTGTGAGAGAAGGGGGAAGGCACTACACTATTCACCTTTGACTTTTCTCCCCGCCTGTGAGTGAAGTTTCCCTGGCAGTAGCTATGCTGTCCATTCAGCTGTGATTTTGTTTGGAGGCACTTCCTTTGTATACCAAGGCTGCTTAGAAACCCGCCTTAGAAAGGACTGGCCAGACTGCCATTAGCATCGTGTCACAAGTCTGGGTGGGGCTCGGGCACCTCTGCCCCTCCGCGGGGACCGTGGGAGAGCCTTAGTTGACATATTTCTTTAAAACAGAGGCTTTTCTACCTTTAATCCAGTTTGTGAGCCCCGTGTTCATTACTAAAACTGCAGACTTATCAAATCATTCCTATTTGCTTCGTGGCTAAAATATTACTAAACTACTTTGCCGTCAATGAAATATAAAGGTCTTTTCCAGAATTGTACCAATGTGGCTATCTTCAAGTTTCTAAATAACTGCTTACAGAAGTATTACATAACTGCCGTAGAAAGTTTTCAAAGTACGGAAACACAAGGAAGAAAATAATTCCCAAATTCAGGAACCATAAAGGGACTGGTGGTTTTGTTTAGCCTTCATAGTGCTAAGTTTTTTCATTGAATGTTATTCAAAGGCACGTGTGCTTCACTTCCCCACAGTCCACTACTCCTTACTGTCTGTCCCCTCCATTTTACTTACTTGGAAATATTGTCAACCCACAGCCCAAAAAAGCATACACACACAGCTTTTATAACTATAGCATAAGCCTTGAATATACTTTCCATATTTTCCCCTGTGTAATTAAATTAATATTGTCTATAATTTTTAATAGTTGCATCCTATCTATCAACAACATATGTTATAGTTTATTTAACCAAATCCCTGCTGTTGAATATTTGGATTATTTCTATTCTAGATAAAGTTATATTAACATACTTATATTCCTGTATAATAAAACCCTAATACGCAAACCGACCGAATGGAGGAATGACTGGTGAAATAACTGGTTGCTATGATTTGCACTGACCAGCAGGGAGCAGAGGCTCAACGCAGGAGCTGCCCTCTGGTGGTCAGTGTGCTACTACAGGGGAAGCACTGCTCAGCCAGAGTGCAGTGGTGGTGGCAGTAGCAGGAGCCTCTCCCGCCTCTGACAGCGCTAAGGAATAGCAAGCCCAGAGGTAAGGAGCAGCGAGCAGACAGATGGTAAGGAGTAAGGGGTCCCAGACTGTGAGAGGGATCCTGCACTGTGAGAGAGGTGTCTGACTGACTGCCAGTTTTGGCCTGACATCCCCCAAGGGATCCTGAACTGTGAGAGGGACACCCCCCTCGCTCCCAGTGCACAGATTTTGTGCACCGAGCCTCAGGTACGTTTATAGTAATACATTTTGGTTCTGGGGGGAGTGAGTTTTTTTTTTTTTTTTTTTTTTTTTTTAAATGTAATGCTGTCACCTTCTGTCATTACCATTTCTACAAAATGCAGTGCACATCATATACATTTAGATTAAGACTTATAGTTATGCTTAAAATATAAAAATTATAAAATGAGCCTTAATTGATTGCTATGATTTTCATGAGTTGATGAGCCTACATATAAGGTTGAAAACATTTTGGCTCTTAGGGGTTTGAAACTAACCAGAAAAAAGGGGGATAAAGGAATCAGCCTTTTTAGTGGAGACAAAGACGGAGTGAGAATAGGATGGAGGAATATGACTTTTAAAAGTTCTCTTGGTGATTTTTATGCCTGTACTTCCATCACTGCTCTGGTACCGTTTATTTCTGATTTAGGTGCCAGTTGCAATGCTATGTGTATGTGTGTTTGACTAAAGATAACCATGTATTATGTATGTTTTCTATCTGATTGCCCAAGGCACACATTTCTAAAGCTAAGGTATTTGCTGTAGAATATGGTGATTGATATACCTTAAAGCCATCTGCTGGACACCTGGTGGTAAATTCAGATTATTTTTCTGGGTTGTGGAGTGCTGGTTAACAAATATAATATTTAATTAATTTTAAAAGGAAATTCAGACGTTCTGAAATGTAAACCAGTTCTGGAGATTTTGATTGACTTTTCTTTTCCACGTATGTGACAGAATTGCTAAGCCTTCTTATGAAAAAGGCAATAGGCTTTTCTAGGAAGTACCCTCTTATTTATAAAGGGCTATGCAAAGATTCACTAGCAATTACACATGTGCATTTTACCCTCTTCCTTTAAAAAATGTGTATCTAGCTTTACGTTTTCAAAAGAGGTTGAACAAGAGCCTGGTGCTGATTCACTTACTGATTTGTGCATTGATTTCTGAGCTCCTTCCTGGGAAGCCACTGGCTATCCTGCCTTGTTCACCTGGAGCGACTGAGGTGAGCAAGACGGCTACAGCCGTGGAGGGGCTGACACTGAACGAGAGCCGCACAGGTGAGCCGGGGTGGCACAGCTCTTGTTCTGGGCACGGCAGCCCTGCAGCGTGGTCAGGACACGCTTCGAGGAGCCTGCCTCGCCACACGTGACTCGCTGGGCACATGACCCAGCTGGTGTTGGCTCTGGACCCAACCAGGTTCGTTCTGAAAAGGTATCCACAACTCATTCCTAGGACCAGATATTCTTTCCCATCATTCTCACTAACCATGTTCTGATTCCCCTGGAGTGATGATTTCAGTGTTTTGCAGGAAAGAATGACATTCCATCAATAGTTTATTAGGATGTTGATTTTTTTTCTTTAATTAGGAAGTCAAGTCAGAAATAGGAAATGCAGCCTGCTTAAGCCATGAATAGGAAATGAGTTTTTTGTTCTCGGTGTTGGATTTGCTAAATTAGCAAATTTGATCACAAGAGAATTTAAACAGTAAAGATATCCAGATTTATCTACTGCATCTTTTAAATATTCAA